TTGCCCTTCTCCCCCGTCCCTCTTCTCAGCTGTTTCTCTTTCCCTCTTTCTTTCTCCCCTTCTTTCCCCCAGTCAAGTCTGTCCCGTATTCAGTAAGTGAAAATAAAATAAACAATAAAAGGTGAATCAAATGGACCATTACGGCAAGCCTGGGATGGTCAATTTGCTAAAGTAAATCCGTTGGGCATCTTTCTTTGCCTTTAGACAACAATTCTGATGGCAAAAGAGCCAAACGGGACAGGCAAAAAAAAAAAAAAAGATGGAAAAAAGTACAATTTCTAGCAAATGATTTTTGTCCACTTCTAATAGCTAAAGTAGGGGTGAAGAACTCCAGGCCCTTAGGCGAGTGTCCTGCAGGTTTTAGATATCACCCTGGGTCAACACACCAGAGTCAAACGATTAGTTCACTACCAGGCAGCTGGAGAACTTCAAGATATGTTGAGCCATAATTTAGCCATATAAATCAGCTGTGTTGGATCAAGGATACATCTAAAACCTGCAGGACACCAGCCCTTGAGGCCCCCCACACCTGAGCTTAAGTGTGACTTTTAATTGTCACATGCTTCAGTGCATCGAAAGTAAGCTGTACCAACTGGTTAAAACCAACCTTTTTTTGTCCCAGTCCAGCCCTGCTCAAAGAGAATCAGATAGATCATCCTGTTAATATATGTTTTTAATGTTGTAAAACTTTAACATTGGCATGTATGAGGATCGACTCACTTTGAAGCCTTTGAAGCCACTACATGATTTTTTATTTAGCTGTGAAGTTTGCTGCTTGGTGAATTCCTACTGAGACGCAACTCCCCAAATATGGTCACATTTGGCTTATGTTCCTATGGGAACACCTGAAATGCCAAACTAAGTGCTTTAGAACAAACAGACTGGTGATGCTTCTGTTGCTGTGTCCATCATTTGTGCAGCCTATTGTCTGTTACATATCATAAATGTCGTTTATTGTATGTTGACTCGCGTTTAGCTCACATCACTCTTGTGTTAACCGTTCAAAAAGCCTTACAAAGCAGTTGACATGATTAAACTGAACAGGCTGAAAGCTGAACGATAAAAAGTCCAGTAAAGAAATTGATTTTAAAAATAATCTTTAGAAAATGACCCCCAAATAGTGTGCTCTCATTTCATAGTATGAATGCACTGCAGAGTTACCTTGAGCACTGGGTGATAAGAAAACAAGGACAAAACTGAAAAGGTGTTCTCTCGATGTGGGATATGTGTTTTGAAATACAAATAGATAGATCAAAACTAATCACAGATCTCATCAGAGAAATCGAAAGGTAAATATAGCAACACTGATAATAATTCATAGTAGCAGGTTGAACTAGACTTTAGGAGCTCTTATACACGCTGCAAAAAAAAAAAAATCCACGTTAATCTGTTACCGTAAAAAGTCTTTCGCTTTCTTCTTCTTTGAGACAAAAGAGTTGAAACAAAAACATTAGACATAATTTACTGGCACATTTATCACAAGGAAGTGCATGACTGAGTTGTAGTTTGGTATGTGGTGTTTTAGTATAAAAGTACCTGAGCGGGAGGATTATCCACATACCATCTGACAACATGAAGGTCCTGCTGCTTACGCTGCTCTTCGTGCTGCTGTGTAGCACCCAAGGTGAGGCCTTGTCATTCTAGCTTATATTCCATTTTAAAAGCAAACTTCTGATTGGGCTAGAAAATAGGTTTGATCTGAGGGAATCATTTGATTACACCTGGACTGAGATGAAGGCTGTTGTCTTAGTATTGTAACATGTTTTGATGGATTTTATCCTTTTTTTTAATTAGTGCTCACTCTCAATTGCTACATCTGTGTGGATGAAAATGACACAAGCTGTAAGACAGAGACAGTTTGTCCACTGTCAGCGCAGTACTGTAAAACCAGCCTGAATGGTGCGTAGGATTTGTTTTCTACTTTCATTTTGTTTGTTCTCATGTTCATGATCTAATATGTGCGCTCATATATCATGTAAAATAATACAATTCCAACAATGGTGTGATGGTATAGTGATTGTATTTTTATTTTTTATTTTTAAACAGGTGACAGAATTTCTCGATCATGTGAGGAGTTCTGTGCTGAGGACTATTTCACAACCTGTTGCAGAGAGGATTTGTGCTAGGCCTGAAGCACCCCTCCCGTTCACTTTCACTTTCTGCTTAATCAAATACAATGAAAAAAATGAAATTACATTAATCTGAATGCAATGTCATTTGTTTATTTACCCAAACGGAATCTATCAAAATCACACACACTTGATTAGAGTTTGACTTGCTCTCATTCATTATGATCCCAAATACATGACTGGTGATTACGGTCATGGATTTTCTTGTATTTTTTTGTTTTTCTTAATGAATAGATGTGGGAAACAGGGCGAAACACACCCACACCCTCTTAATCCTTTCCTGAGTGACTTAGTGGGTCAGAGCAATAAGCAATGCTATGTGGGTCACTGTCTATCTCCACTGTAATAAAAGTTGGACTATTTTTTTAAACTGCAAAAAAAAAAAAAAAACCATTAAAAGCTGTTGTCTTAATCTATTTGTTCCAGCTGTCTTTTCTTACAGGGCACAAGTGTCTTGCCTGTTTCACACATTAAAATCTTCATACATTTTCACACGGCCCCATGTGGCCACTGTAAGACTCCCTCACTGGTTTCGTTTGGGTGAGGTGAAACTGAGCTGATAACCACGGACCATAAAACGAACATCTCTTTTTAATGGTTCAACATGAGGTCTATAATGATTCGATGCTCAAATGATTTAAGATTTTTCATTTAATCCTTTTTTTTTTACATGCATGCAAACACAGTCACACTTGTGGTTGGCACAGGTCACTCGCCTAGCAGCATTCACGCATCCTGCTTTGTTTTCAGATATGTCACACCTGTTGTTGTTAAGAACCCACAGTATGCAACAGGCCAGACTTGTTCTCAGAAACAATGCACTGCTGCACTGTGCATTGTTTTGTTGATGGAGAGATAAAAATACTGCAGAACTGTATACAGACTAGAAGGCCATTTTAAAGAGGCTCATTAAATCATGGGAGGTTGGCTGAAGTCAGCCACGAAGTGATTACCGTATGTGGTTCATTTAGGACTTGTTATTATTACGCTTACCTTGCTGTGCAAAAGGCATAACCACCACAACATCTGACACTAGAAGACAACAGTGACATGACTAATCGAAATGAGCTGAAAGGCAGCAAAATACATTTCAGCATCACGTCGTTTTCTTTGAAGTACTTCTTTTATTTTCATGTTTGTGAAAATATAGGTCATATTTTTTAATCTCTCCAGCTGTTTTCTGCTCTGCATTAGAGGAGCTCAGACAGTATGATTTGTGGATTAAAAGAGCACCAACTTCACACTTCATGTGTTACAACTTAGTGCGCTTTGAACCACTCCAGAAGGATGATCGATTAGTCTCTAGGTAACAAAAAACAACAAGAAGAAATGCATTGCATGCAAAAATAACCTTATATTTTTTGTGCCTCACCACAAACTGATATGTGAAAACTTTCCTACATTTATTGTGGTTTGTCAAAAAGTTACTTTAAATATTTCAAAGCTGTGGAAAAATACTTGCCTGCAGCTGTTGCCCACACAGGAAAGAGCTGTTACTGATCACGTGAGAAACTGTGTGCAGCGCGCTCAGTGTAGTGTTTGTTTTATTGTCTAAAAACCTGCCTGAGGGCATGGTTGTCACAGATGAACAGTCTCCTTTCAAGTGCATTTTTTTTCCACACATTACATTCCCTTTTGCTATGCTGTCTTTAAATTCCTAACTTGTTAAGCCAAGCACAGATATACACATTGTTTTACCTCACTACATTTATTACCTTCAAGTTCAGATTTTAACACATACAATGCACATGTATTTAAATAATCTCCCCATAACTGTGAAAAATAAACTGCAACTTCAAAACTACTCCAACTGCTACATTAAAGCACAGCTTACATATACTTAAAGCACATCCATGACAGCATACCGTAAGTAGTATTTGATGTAACTTTATGTAAACAATCTGTTTATGGGCCTGTGTAATTTGACTAGTATAAAGATGCAGGTGGTTAATTACTACATTACTACTACATTTGGTTTCAATTTTGTATTAGTGCTAACTGATTACAGCGTTACAGATAGATATAAAACCTACATTAAATTCCCACTGATGTAAGGAGGAACACATCTTAGCACTTAAAGCTATAGATGATGATGACAGAAAGTATTGAAACTCCACTACTTACCTTGCATCATGGCAGAGATTAATGCCTCAGTTTGCATAATAACAATAAAAAGTCTTGAATCTGGGTTTTTGTGTGTTGCCTCAGAATCACAGGATATGTTTTTTTTTTTAAAATATATGTTTTAAAGATTACCCCAGCAGGTCCAGATGTTTATTCTTGCACTCCGTTAATCAGCTCAGTGTGCCCAGATTTAAACCATGACCTTTATGATCAGTCCAGTGTATACAATGTGCACCGCTGGAGTAAAGTGGATATAAGAAAATGACTTTTCCAATAAAACGCATGAAAACGCTGCTTATACATCCATATATTATTGATCTCAAAAACTAATGTCATCTCTAGTCAATTGTTCTTAATGGAATGATTAATTTTACCTTGATTTTACCAGTGATCCTCATAATTATTGATTAATATTTATGATTGATAATATTATTTAGGCAAAAGACTTTTTAGTCTTAAGTCTTCCTAAGTTGCCTTTAATGAGGAAATTTACCTGTAAATTTTTGTTTTTGTAATTTCACTTAGGTCAGAATAAATAAATAACATGGCTGCTCGCTGCTTCCCTACTGGAAAAAAAAGAAAAGAATCAAAACAAAGACAGAGTCTGCTGATCCACCAATAGTGGGCTTGTTGTCAAGAGTGAATCCTGCTTTAGCTGCTAGAGTAATGGTGGGCCATCTATTGGATTAGTGGAGGGATTTCACTGTGGTATTAATCTGAGAAGACAGCAGGCGACCGAGGCTGGCCTCAGACTGAGCTGTTGTGTCTTTCAGCCTCTGGCTTTCACTCGGCTCGCTGTTTGTCCTCCATCTGACGCACCAAAGCAAACTGAACCCGAGACCTCGCAGCCAACATGAACCTTTTCTGCTTTTCTCTGGTAAGATGCATGCATTTGTCTTCTTTACAGAACAGTCTGTGTGTGAGTCGCAGAGTAAAAGAGAAACTTGAGTTGCAAATCTGAGGTTAGCCACAAGAAATATATCGTGAAGATCAATAAATAACACACTATGCATACGTAAATGTGTGGGAAGCTACAGAGTGTCTATCTAGGTTTTTAATCGCAGTTTTCCTACAAAGAAGCAAAACATGATGCTAAAGCGCAGCACTAATCTAATGAGAATGGTTGCTGCTACATCTTCTCGGTAAATAGATCATTGATAACCTGATGCAGAAAGTTTGATCATTAGACAAGTCCTCCTGACACCGACCTTGTCTTCTTATCTTCCTTTGTCTGAAAACTTTAAGCTTTGTTTGCCATAAAGTTTTAAGCAACATTTCACAGCAGTTCTTTTATTACAGTATGTATTTTGAAGCCCTGGTTTATGTATTACTGACTAATTTCTTTATGCCTACAAGTGCTGTTAAAAGTGTTTATTAATGAAGCCACAAAAGCTAAGATAAGAAGCAGGAATACACACGTGTGCACAATATACACATGGGTACCTCAGATGCTCCTGCAGCTGTCATGCTGCACGTGGGGATGTGACATGTGGGTTGGATACTTTAAACTTGTCTCTGCACAGATGTTGGGGATGTTTACAAATGATCAGACTGATTCATCATTGCCTAGAATCTCTAACGGATGTCGCACCTTTTAACCACTCTGCTCAAATAGCACATACAGCAAGTTTTCGTGCTGCCCGTTAACCCAGGTAGAAATCTAGAAAAGAGAAAAAACAAACACAGCAGCAAAGCAGCAGCATCTCAAAATACACACTTGTTCCCCTGCAAATACAGGAACTTACACTTCATTTGGAAGCTTTTTGTTTAAACCATTTTGCACTACATCTTACATTTTGAGTACTCTGTAAAGACCTGTTATTGGCCCACAGTCATATGAGTCAGGGATTGATTTTCTAAAAGATGGAGGACTCCAGTTCTGTCTCAGACCACTCATTAAGAATTTTGTGGTTTGGTTTAACCAGGAATGGTTGAGTAGAGAAAGAATACAAAATCAATACTCTGCACTATCTTTTATCATGTACACCGATGAGACGTCACAGTACAGTCAAGATGAGCTGACGAGAGAAATTGGTTATGCGTTCCTAGAAGGAATCCCAACGAATCAAACAAAATTTAATCCACGCTGAAATCAGTTCTGTCGAAATTCCCTCATCCATGGTTGACAAGCAAATTTAAAGGAGCTTTGGAGCAGCATTGGTGACATTTCCCTGCAGTCATATCAAATCCTCATAACTAAAATTTTCATATTTTGCATCTGATTACAATGAAATGCAGATTTATGTGCTGGAAACATGGATGGAAACAGATGAATTTCATATCCGGCTGCCAAACTGCAGCCCTCTAACAACTGTGTGTCTTTTTGTCTGTCCACTGGGCATCAGGAGGGATCTATGGACAGCCTGTACGAGGCGGTGCAGAGCTCCAGCGACGGCCCACCACAGCCTGTCCCGAGCCGCTCCTCCAGCCGCTTGTGCAGCCGCTCCTGCAGCCCGGCAGTCTTGCTGAATGATGGCACAAAGTGGCGAGGCTCTGGAAGATCTATATCCATGGTGTGTGTCATGAAAATCTCGTACATTGAAGCATGTTGTACAGACTGTGAGCGGTGCGGGCTTGTGAACAATCATGACCAGATTGTATGGGGTCACGGCCTTGAGGAGCTGTGACATGTAACCAGATTGAACCTAAAAAAAATAAAGCTGATTATTAAATGATGAGCAGAGCCAGTTGACAGCTGCCTCTGAGGCGAGGCCAAATGTTCAGTTTCAGTGAATCTCTACATGAATCAGCTGGAGGATTTTGTTGAATGTGGCAAGTTGCTCATTTAGTACAGACAGCCTTAAATGCTTTGTTTTCTTTCAGGAGATGCCTCAGACGCAGAGAGCCAACTCGAACAAGAAGAAAAGAAGGTGAGCTCAGACGTAAATTACTCAAGAATGTTAAGATCGTCCTATATGCCCCACATTACAATGCTTTAAGCTCGAAGCTCAATCTGCTCTATCTCCACATATTATGTATGTCACTCCGCTTCGAACGGACAGGAAAATTGTATTAAAAACATCAAGTAATCCTGGAAGGAATTAAGGCTTCTGTTCGTCTAGTGCGTGCTGTGGCCTTATTTCTCTTTCTTTTGTTGGTTGAGCGTGCAGAAAGCATAAAGCTGCCCTGCCAGTGACAGAGCTTTCCCATTGAGTAATAATATGGCTTGAAAGGCTCCCTGTTTATTTTCGCTGTGGGTTAATACTGTAAATCCTTCCTGCAGCAGAGCAGAATAAATTGGAATGCTGTGCTTAAAGAAGAGGGATTGACATCCGTAAGACACAATAGGAACCAAAAAAATCTATAAATTGTTCAGCTTTGTTGACAGAGAACTGTATTTTGAGAAGAAGGACCCTTCACACTGTTGGGCCAGCAGAAGGCAGATTACGGCTTTGGGCTAGCTGGACTAAGCGGATTCAAGGTCAACACCTTTTACTCCCTTGGCCTTTCTTTGGACAACGTACAACTTTGTTGACGCTGTAAACGCATAGAAAGATTTAACACAGTGGACATCTGCACAGCATGAGTCTGCAGTCTTGTGGTCATGTTTTGTGGTTTATGTGCTCCATAGTTGCCTTTTTGAAGTCCCAGGCTCTTTACTTTGTGTTGTGAAGAAAATAATAATGTCTAATTTGTTTTAAATAAAAATAATAATCCAAGATAATGAAATATTTCTTTGTTATTTTACTTTTAGGACACATATATCCAAATCTGCATCAGATAATGAAACACTAGGTGAGTATAACAATTTCTAAACTTCACTTTTTATTAGTGCTAAAGTGTAACTTGTGCATAATGACTGTTTACAACATGTGTTACAGCCCTGACTCCCTTTCACAAACCCTGAGGTAGACTGCGATGAAATAAATGTGTATTTTGGAAGCTTCTAATATTATTTATATTCAAACTTCCAGCGAGCTACCAGGCTTTATGTCCGTGTCTCATAATGCTGATAATGATTTTACTATCAGTGGCTTCCATTCACCCCAACTTTTCGCTTTAAAACCTCCAACGCTCGTCTCTCTCCACGGCAGACACTCCCGGCTGTAATACTGCAGTGTGGCAGCATGCCAGGAGCAGAGAAGATTTAGTTCACATCGCCAACAATCACAATGAAGGTAAGCAGGAAATAAAGAGGCTAAGCTCATCTAAAGTTTATGCCAGCACTCATCTGGAGTCCCAGCAGGACGCTCAAAGGCAGGGTGGGGATTTCGAACCCAATTCAGCATTAAAAAATGACCCCAGACTATCGGCCACTGTGATCTTAAATGGGCGGGACCATTGAAATTCGCCTTTCTGTTAGTATAAAGTAATTTATCAGCCCATTTAATCTAAACCCTGAGATCTCTTAATATAAGAAGAAGAAGTGCAATTTTAGCAAACTGTCTCAATTTGTCTACATGAAAAAGAAATGCTGATGCAGTAAATGGAAAAAATGCTGTCAGCACAACTCTCTGTGCTCGGGTTTTAGGAAATAAATGAATACAAATAGAGAAAAGGTTCTGGATGCTCATTTGTCCAGACTGTTAATGGAAATACCCAGTTCTTTTTGGAGAGTTTCTATAGTAGATCATTCAATTGTTTATCTATTATTTAGTTACTTTGGTGTAGTATGAACAGCAATGGAGGGAGGTCTCTGTCAGCAGGACAAGCTGTAAAATGTAGCGAAATTCCAAAGATGTCCAGTGGGCCAGATTGGAGTCATTTTAGGGCCTGACTCTGGTCCCCAGGCCTTATGTTTAACATTGGTCGGGACAATATGCAATGATGTCGAAAACAACAAGTGAGAGAATGTTTAATTTAATTCTAAGATTTGCTAATCATTGAGGCAAATTCCTTAAAAAGTCCTCAGGTGTACACATTGTGTTGTTGCAGAGATGCGAAAGACGAAACACAGGACAGAAACCAGAGGTGGTAAAGGAAGTCATCATTCTGGCACCAAGAAAAAGGAGAAACAGACCTCAAGCCAGGTTAGAAGAGTCGTTTCACTTTTAGACTGTTTCACTCAAAACCCTCTCTGCAGACATGTTTCAGTCATGCAATGCATTCAGATCTTTGTGGGTACCACAGCGGTATCAGTTTGGTTTTAGGTTTTAAGACCATTTTGTTCATTTGGTTGGCTGGTTTTAATGCCTACTCTGAAGTTTATTGCTCCCAAAAGGCTGATAAATCTGTGCCAGCATCATGTTTGAGCACCTTCAACACACCACAGCAGAGCATTTAACAGCACCGACACCACCACCTGATGTGACTTGCTGAGAGCTACCGCTGGCCCAAATGGCACAATCTTTTAGCACAAATGCTGATTGGGTTTTAATACAGTGCAGATGGTTCAAAGAGGGGTGCACCTCTCTGTGTAATCTCTGGACCACATGGCAGAGAGGGATGTGAAAACTCTGTGTGTGCGTGCGTGCTTAGAAAGGTTTAAAGGCCTCATGCCAGGTTTCTCAGTGGCCAATCTACCTATTGCCATCATAGTTAAATGAAAACAAAGCATAGCTTGCCAAAACCGGTTCAGCAGCATTTTTCCTTCCTCAAAACACATTATGACAACGCTGACATTGTCACATGATCGCTGAGCGCATATCTGCAAAGACTTATAATGTTTACAAATCTTGCAATCCTGTTATCCTTTGTTAATTGAATCTCATTACTATTAATGGTAATGAGATTTTCCTCACCCATTCAACTCTGCCTGTTTGTAGTAGTCCTGCACAGCTCTCCCCTCTAACAGAGAGCAGGCACCCTTGCTATCTGTCTCCTCACAGATCTAAACTAGAAGTCAGTGGACCAGCTGAAAGAATCTAAACTCAACCCCCTAAATTTTCCATTGCTCTCATCAAGCCTGTTAAACACTCCCTGCCAGAAGGTCACACACAATGAATCAATGTTAAGGGGTGTGGGATATTAGAGGTTCTGGAATGAAAGTGTTTAAATGGTGAGTGTGTGTGCATTTGTTTATCTTTTCAGAGTGTCCATGCCAACGGAGTGGCAACAGAGTCCAAAGCAGCTGTCAGGAGAAACCCCAAAAACAGCAAGAAAGCAGGCGGGAAAAGTGGGAAAGAAGGGACAAAGAAAGCAAACAGCTCCAGAGGTAGGAGCTTTCACCAACATTAACCATCATTTCAAACTCTTGGTTGCACCTTTATTCACAGTGGTTAACACAGCAATCAGCTGTTTAATATTTTAGACCGGACACAACCCCAAATGGCTTTGTGTCTCCTTCTAGAATCAAACCAGGTATCTTTAGCTCGTTACGCAAACGTGTAAAGCACTATAGTATATTTAATACAAAAGAATTAATGTCTAGTAATCATCAGTAAATTTAAAATGTATTCACGGTACAAATTACATGTCGGAAGATTGGTGGTTCAATCCATGTCTGCATGCTAAAGTATCCTTGAGCAAGACAGGCTACTGAACCCTGAGCTGCTCAGGATGCATTCATTGCAGTGTGAGTGTGTGTGAATGAGTAAATGAGGCAAGCGCACACTAAATGACAACTTTAACATTTAATATAGTGTTTTATGCATTGACATCATAGCTGATAAAAGTAATACTTGCATTATGATGATGTGAAAACATCTAACACTTCGTGTATCTCTTAATCATGACCAAAGGTTTTTGTGGTTTTGTAGAACAGGTTTCATTCTTGCTGCTGTTTTCATTCCCAGAGGGTCAACTTTAACTGTTTAGTCAAAGTCACTGATAGCGCACCGGACATCCTTTAGTGTCGCCACTGTGACCTGTTGTAACAATAGTGACGTTGCTCCTAACTTGTTGCATTTTAAACCAAACCACAGTCTCTTCCTGAACCTATTTAAAACACTAGTGAATAAAATTCAATTTTTCAGCATTTACTCTAACCTTCACCTACACCCCGCTGCCTTAAAACAAAGATCAGAAACATTGCTTACAACTTTACAATAGTAAAAGAGGTTTTTTTTTTAAAATGATATTGTTATTTTTAAATCTTGCCTTTGTCCTTCCTGACGTTTCTAGAATTTCTATGACTCTATGACTAAGAAAGATTTTGGCTCAAAATAGCAGAACAGCTACAGTTATGTGGCAACTCCAGTTAATGCCCTTTAAAAAAGTAATCAACTTTAAATTCTACTTCTGCTTTTAAGAGTTGCAGCACCTTCAAATTACGTGTCTGCGGCATCCTCACACCTCTCAGAGGGCCACAGCGGTTCAGGATGTGAGGGTTACAAAAGCCAAGGACATACTACACATACTCTGTTTGGCCAACCTCCTGTTTCCTCCTCTCTTTTTGGTACTGCTTCGACATGTAAAGTGATCCTCACAGTGAACTGTCTCATTTGACTAAGTCATTTCCAGTTCAGTTTAACTCTGATGAGGGTTAAACAGCAAATCATTGCATCATCTAAGTTAAATAAAGTTACACTTGAGTCTGATCCCAGTTTGAGAATGGTGAGAATTGTTGACTGTAAGTCACTTTTTTTCTTGTCCCCTCTCTCAGTGTGCTCCCCACCTGGCATGATGAGCCCACAGATGGGACACCACTTTCCCGAAGTGCCGTACAGATCAGACAGGAGGCCCTACCCGGGTAAATTCTCCACCCTCCCCTCTCAGGAGAACACAACCCCAGGCCGATGCACTGACATGGCCAGCCTTCCCGGTGGAGCGACGCCCACCCACCACCAGCGGTGGAGTAACCCTGCTGACAGCAGTCTAGCCTGGGGGACCGTACAGCACACCTGCCGCAGGCCTCTAACAGAGTATCGCGTCTACTCCCATGACTTCATCACGGCGCATGTGAAGGAGTGGGAAGGAAGACAGGAGCACCGGCAGGTAGTGGCCCAGGATGGTTGCTTGAAGCAGGACTGTAAACCTGAGATTCCCCCAAGGGTGCCGCGATCTATCACTGATGTGGACCTGTCCGAACCAAATGTAAGTTTCATGCTGATTGCCACACAGTACTGAGACTGAACTAAAGAGCAGTGAACTAAAAATGGCAACAGTTTTTCAAGGTACTCAGCAGATTGGTTGTCCCAAGAGAACTTCCTCTGAGTGTTTCAGCTGCCTTTCGACCCAGGCTGACTGGATGACGCTGAGCTGAGGGTTTTGTGGTGGACATGTGATCAGCTGTAGGATTCATATCTGTCTTGTCACTCAAGATAGTTGTCTGTGGTTTGTCAAATGCAGTCGAATGCATTTAAGACCAATTAGGTGCCTTGCTGATGACATTTTGTGGTCTATGAGAATTAATTCTGGTCACTATGTCAGCGCTATTGACATGTCCCCAGCCTCCTCCCATACAGAACATTTTGCATTTTCTTTAAAAACGTCTCCTACAGATGCTAATATTGGTTGAACATTATTTGATTTGATTTTATTTTATTGATTAGCATTCAAATTCAAATCTCAGTGAAAACAGTGAGAAAAAAAAAACAAAAAACAGTGAAAACAGAACAAAAATCTACCATAAAGAAAGAAAGCATGAGACAAGGCTAATCAAAAGGTATTGGCTGAAGCATTTGCTTATTACGCCAACCCTTTTCACAAAATATCTTTTTGTATGCAGCTCCTGTACACAGGGCTTGAAGAAAATAATAAAACAAAGCAAAAACCAAACAAACAAACAAACAAACAAACAAACAAAACAAAGAAAAAAAAACTTTCCACCTTAGATAAGTAACTACATCAAAGTAAAGAATCAAGAGGTTGTTGTTTTTTTTCTCCTTTTTGTTCTTTTCATTCTTGATATATATATTTTTCTAATACTCTATTTTTAAACATGTTTTTAAACAAGGAAAATGAACTACACCTTTTTAAATCACTGTCATAACTATTCCACAGGTTAACTCCTCTAACAGAAACACATCTCTGCTTTATATTTGTCCTCATCTTGTTTTTCTTAAAGAAATCTGTTCCCCTTAAGTCATATTGACTCTCTCTGACTTTGAACAGCTTCTGAGTACTGGGGCAAAGCAAGTTATTTTGTGCTTTATACATTATCTGTGCCATTTTATATTCAACTAAATCATAAAATTTCAGGGTATTCAGATTAATAAACAAAATGTTAGTTGGTTCTATATAGTTTGATTGGTTTATAATTCTTATAGCTCTTTTTTGTAACTTGAAAATATGAAGAGTGTTCGTTTTATATGCATTACCCCATATCTCCAGACAGTAAGTCATATATGGAAGCAACAGAGAACAATAAAGTGTGTATAATGATTTTTTGTTCAGGACATGCTTTGTTTTATAGAGAATAGCAATGGTTTTTGACATTTTTGTTTTCACGTGGTTTATATGAGACTTCCAACTCAGCTTATCATCAATTATCACTCCAAGAAATTTATTTTCGTACACTCTTTCAATTTCAATTCCATTAACCCTTATTTTAGATACATTTTTCACTTGTCTAGTGCCAAAAATAATCAATTTTGTTTTCTTTATATTTAATGATAACTTATTTACATCAAACCAGTTTTTTAATATATTTAACTCCTTTTCCGCTGTAGTCAGAAGCTGTTCTAAGTTTTTACCTGAGCAGTACAGAGTCGTATCATCAGCAAACAATACACATTTTAACAGTTTGGAAACACTACATATGTCATTTATATATAATATAAATAATTTAGGGCCCAGCACAGAGCCCTGAGGAACACCACAAGTTACCTTCAACTGCTTAGATTTTACATTATTGAATTCGACATATTGATATCTTTCATCCAGGTAACTTTTCATCCACTTGTATGCTATCCCTCTTATGCCATATCTCTCTAGTTTATTTATTAATATAGAATGATCAATTGTATCAAACGCCTTTTTTAAGTCTATAAAAACACCAACAGTATATTCCTTATTATCTATTGCATTAGATATCCCTTCAACAAGTTCCATCACTGCCATTGAAGTGGACCTTTTCACTCTAAAGCCATATTGGTTATCACTTAGGAGATTATGCTTCTCAATATATTTATCAAGTCTATTAACAAATAACTTTTCTAAAATTTTTGAGAACTGTGGGAGTAGTGATATTGGCCTATAATTGGTAAACTGACATCTCTCTCCGTTTTTATGGATTGGAATAACTTTTGCTATTTTCATTTGTGAGGGAAACACACCAGTTTGAAAGGACAGATTACAAATGTATGCGAAAGGTTGCACTATATATTCTATAATACTTTTAACTAATATCATGTCAATACCAAAACAGTCAGTGGACTTTTTATTTTTAAATGTCTTCACAATGTTAATTATTTCTCTATGAGTTACAGCACCAATAAACATGGAGGACACATTCTGAGTAATATGTTATGAACATTGAGATGTAGGTGTGGAAATTGATGACTTTGTGGATTTTCCTCATTGCGCAGCTCATTGCTAACATCACGCAACGGAGTGCACATTTGCACGCACATGACATCTCTCAAAGCTTTAGACTCTAAGCGATACTCGGTGAGCACGTGTGGCGTGTGAGCCATGTGTTACGCAAAAACAGTTGTCAAAGCCCAGGATGACTAGGGAGAAAATTGTCTGATGAAAACAACCATCCAGTGCAGAGATTACAAAATCCCCATGGATCTGTGGTGTCATTCGTTCTTAGAGTCAGAAAGTCATTTAACAGAGAATAAATCCCCAGAGGACTATAAACAGAGATGGTGCAGGGTGTTAAGACTCTATCTTGTCCTTTTACGAACTTCCCGTGAGATAGTGATAAGAAAAGAAAACAATCAAGTGAAGTGGTTTTAATTTAATTTCCTCTGAATTTGCTTATTTCTTGTTTTGTCACTGGGGAAGTTAACATTAGCTCTGCAGAACTAACAGTGCACACAATGCATGTCAGAACAGTTTTGATATACTTTTGGCATAAAACTGTATCTCAACAAAATATTTCAATGAAGATAGGGTGGATTTTTTTTTAAAATCAGACAGGAAACCACTAAAGTAAGAAATTTAAAATCTTGATCTAGAACAAAATGAGTTTCTTTTGTTGTTGTTGTTGATTGCAAGCAGCAGGATTAGACTGAGGTTTAGGTCTGCAGAATTCCCTTTTCCACAACCGACCGCAGTGTAAACATGGCAAATCCCCAATGTGGCGACATGAGAGAGGCAAGGTGGAATCCTGTGGAGGCTAAAAACTCCCTCACCTTTTCTGATTCAGTGGAAACACTATGAGTGTGTGGGTGTGTTTGTAGATAAGAGTTTTGTAACTTTTATCATTCGTCACCGATTTTAGAAAAAGGGTGACTTGTTTTAGTGTATCCAAAAAGACATAAAGCCAAAAAACCCTCAGTTCCACACCGAGAGGGGAGGTCGACCGGAAGGTATTTCGACACACCAAAGTTGCCACTTTCAGCTGTTCCTCTGTCATAAATCCACACTTCCTCAAAAGCGTTCTGCCCCACATTAGGAAATGAACTCAGAAGAATAATTACTCCAGCATCATTTACCGCAACAGAGTTCCCCATTGCTGATAAAAGGGAAAATTTGAGGTATATTGAAAGAAGAATTGAATTAAACAAAGAGGTTTTGTCTTCTTTTTATTCCTGAACTACATAAAATAGCTTTCACTGTGAAGCTTTTAGCCTCATTGGATAATTGAACCTGAGTTGAGTGGCTACATGTATGTGATTGTGGCATACTTATGCACAGTTACAGACCAACATGGTGGTGTGGCTCACCATCAGCGTCTAAAAGACGAGTAGCAGATACAAGACAGATGTTTGAACAAGCAAATGCCACATTTATAAAACTGAAGTGCCGCTATTCCTGGAAGTGGTTCTAGTTGTTTCGCTGAGCCGGCCACAAAATGCACACATAAGCATTCGTATTTTTCCCCTTTCAGAGCTGCACTGAAAGAAACAGTGTGAATTGCCTCACATCCTGTGCGTTCTAAGGAAGTGAGCCAGCCAGCCCATCAGACAGATAATCTGTGTGTCAGTTAACACTTCTCTGTAGAGGAGTACAGCAAAGACAAGAGCAAAGGACTAAGATCCGACTAACACCTTGAAAGAAAAAAAAAGGAGTTAGAAAATGTTACAGAGGGCTGCATCTAATGTGTCAGACAAAGCAAGGAGCAAACCAAAGGTGGGTGAAAATAATTATGATCAAAGCTTCAGGGTCCAAATTTCACTTGTGACATCGACTCCGTTACAAATTTGTAGAAGATGAGGCTCAATCTAACATCACCAATTATTGAATTAAAAACTACAGTCTGCTGGAAGCAGCGCGATGTTTTTGGAGAATATGTCACAGTTCATTTTTTAAATGGTGAAGAAAGTCTTTAAAATAAAACCTTGATTTCTGCCAGTGTATTTTCAGTCAGAGAGTGCACTCAGAGCTGCATTAAATCAGTCTGCACAGGGCTGTCTAGGAGTATGGAGCTCATATTTAACCAGGATTTCCAGGGATTATTCATTTATATGATTATTTTTGGTGCTGTGCTGGGGAGATGATGGAGGCTTGGGAGAGATTAGGCTGACTATTAGTTTTATGAAAACCTGGGGGGGGGGACTGAAAGAATTAAAATTGAGCCAGAGCAGCAACGACTTGTCGTGTCACCAGTGCGCTGAGGGTAAGTACTTGTGTATTCGTTTAAGTTTAAAACACAAGCTCTCATTTAGTGTGTACTTGACTTAAAATCGTAGATTTTAAAGGAAGGGTTTTTTTTCTTTTCTTGTTGGTTTTTGTCTTGTCCTAGATGTTTTAAGACTGTTAAAAGAAAAACTGATTATATTTGGCCTGTGAAATCTCGGGTCACAGCACGATTGTGCTATTCAGACGTTGTTTAGCCGTCTTTGTGTGACATCTCTTTTTACCCTTCCCCACAGCGCTCCACAAGCTTTGGCAAATTTGAAGGTCTCAGACATCACTCATCACAGGCCAAACCGAAGGAAAATGGAACCGCTATGGTTTGTAGATGTGCTTGTTTTTCACTTTTGTAACCCTGATGTCAGCAAAATTTACTTCAATAGCAATAATAGTGTAACCGATGCATGAGACTGCCATACTTAATGCAGGTTTTTCACTCATACATTAAAAAGGGGACTGAAAGCGACACACTGGATTTTTTGAGAACAGAAAAACATGTTGTCAATACTAAATATAATTGTAGAATTGTAGAAAAGAAAAAGAGTTGGTGTTTTGTTTTTGTTTGTTTTTATTTTAGGTCGTATTCCTTAATATCCCCGTTCAGTTTGTACTAAACCATGTTTCTTCACACAGGTCACAGAAGAATGTGAAAGTTCAGACCCAAACAACTCAGCTGGACTCCGGAAGAAGATGAAGGAGATTTCACTGACCATGCGCAGAAAAATGGGCAAAAAACATGCCAAGTCTTTATCCGAGGAGACAGTGAGTCGCTGAATCACTCACACACACTTTTACATCAATTAACCGAGCACTCTGATAAGGTTTTTGACCGTTCACATACACACATTAATGCTTCAGTTCTCCAGCGCTGTTTTATTCTAAAGAATTTGTGCGCAAGTGATCAAAAAGTCCCTCAGCGTGCAACAAATTCGAGGCCACGGACATCACTTACTGCAAACCTGCTCTGTTTATCACTTTCATCTCCTCTGAAACCACATCCTCAAACTGTGACGCGGTTGTTGGCGATATTTAGATGACTGTTTGCTGTCATCTGCATCGAAAAGTGTCTTCCTGCAGTATCTGTGTTTTTCTCAAACAGCGATTGAAAGATAAGATGTTTTGATTAGCTTTGGAAATTTCATAGCCTACACCTCCACCTCCACTTTTACATGGAGTCGTTCGAATAGTCTGCCTAATTGTGCACACTCCGTCCCTGTTTATCTGTTTATGTAACGTTGCTGCCTTTTAAAACCGTGGGCCTTGTCGTTTTTTTCTTTCCTTCAGGGCGATGACACAGACAAAGAGCCAGATGCAGAGACAGAAAGCAGCCCTCCAGCTGAGAAAAACTCCACACAGACAAGCAACTCCTTGGAGAGTCTTTACAGTGGCCAGAGCTCCTCCAGTAAGTATCTGCTCATAATGCACACCCAGACATAGTGAATAAATGTGTGGTGTTAACCAGTAATACTCTTAGATGAGCGTGTAATCCTCCTGTGCTGTGTTGTGTTTGTGGGTTCAGGTGGTGTGACCAGTGAGTCCAATGGCTCTGGTCAGAGAGACAGTCTGAGGCTGGAGGAGGACGGCTCGTATCACGGACAGTTCTGTGGCCGAGCTCGAGTCCACACGGATTTTGTTCCCAGTCCATATGACACGGACTCCCTCAAACTCAAGGTAACTCTCCATGTCCACGCTTTACATGGACATGGCTGTACTTAGACAGGGAAACATCTGCAGTAACAATGAAGCAGTCTCAACCATCTTTTAATAGATTTTTTTTTCCAAGGTTGGTGACATCATCAACATCATCAGTAAGCCTCCAATGGGCATTTGGACAGGCATGCTCAACAACAAAGTGGGCAACTTCAAGTTCATCTATGTCGACGTTTTGGTGGAGAAAGAAGAAGAAGAGGAGACTCCCAAAATCAGACAGCAGAAGCTGTGCAAAAGACCTCGACCTAAAACACTGCTGGAGTTACTGGAACGCTTGAATCTGGAGGTGAGGACCAGATCTGCTCACCTGGGGTCTTTTGTCTTAGTTTAGGGGACGAATCACAAAGTTTTCAAAGACTTAGTCATGACAGCAAAACATTTAAAGATTTGTGCTTTAGTTTTACAGTCGGTGGTTGCTCTTGTTTTAGGAATATGCTTCTGCACTGATGCTAAATGGCTATGAAACAGTGGAGTCCCTGATGCACCTGCAGGAGAAACATCTTATAGAGCTGAACGTCAAAGACCCAGAGCACAGACAGAAGCTACTCACTGCTGCTGAATACCACTACACAGAAGGTCAGAAACACACCGAGCAATCATTGTGACTGGTTCTAATGCTAACAAGTAACAATATGTAGCACTTAGTCAAGGGAGATACTGCTTCATAAGAGTTCACTCTTGAAAAATGAACATTCTGAAAAATAAAAATAAAGATCCTCTCATGAAGGTTTCAGTATTCAGAAGTGGGCTGCACAGACTGGCTCGCAGCAGAGATGCAGGAGTCAGCAAATGAGACTAACAATTTTTGTTAGCAGGCTCAATCGGTGTTATGTTAAGCCTGAAAGTAACACCACACTGAATGTGAAGCAGCTGTAAATACAATACAGTCTTCACAGAGACTGTATATTAAAGAAGCTAATAGCTACCTCACTTATTGTCAATCACAATTTTATTTAATAGCACATTTTATTATACACAAACTAAATGCTTTTAACATAATAGAAAAATACATAAAAACCTAAACCTTTGTTTCCAGTCCTACCCTTTATTTCCTGTCTGTAACCCGTCCCAGCAACCATAAAACAAAGAATAAAAACTGTACAATTGGCTCTCGTCTTTTAACCAGCAGTCATGAGAGTTACATTTTCTGAGTAAATAATAACTCTGTGTGTGTGTGTCTGTACAGACAGCAAAATCTTTGTCCAGTAATTAAATACAATTACATCCCTAAAGTCTTTTAAGCAGCATGTGGAGCTGCTTTGTTTGATTGTGGTTAAAACATGGTAGAATTTACTCATTAGCCAATCAGAAGTGAGCATTCAAACAAACAGCAAGATAAGGTAAAGACTGTATTAAATAAAAACTCTCTTTTTTAAATTAAGAAAAATATTTTATATTTACCATAAATATAAAATGAATGGAAGTGTAATTCTGTCACTTTATTTCTGTGGGACAATAAAAAAAGGGTTCACTCTGTAAATATGTGGGTAGAAACAGGTAAAGGCTGAGACATTTGTGCCGTAGAGAATAGAAATACATCATGCACACTGTGAGAAGCTTATTGGTGACTTCCTGTTACTTAGATAGAAAGTGCTTAACATGACAGAAGGTGTTCCTGTAATCTGAAGTCTGGAAGCAGTCTGACTGATTATCAGAAATCCCTGCATGAATGAAAGCAAAACTTTCCAAAACAATCCAATATGACAGTGGAAAAACACAAAGTCAAAGTAAATGTCAGTGTAATTTCTTTTTTAGCTCGGCTTGGTTGACAGTGAAACTAAACAGATGGCAGCTGCTGCAGCGTGACCCTGCCAAGCTCACATTAGACACCAGTAATTTAATCAAGCTGAGCTAGATTAGTCGGATTAGCGGCTTCTGTTAGTTAGTTTAAAAAACAATGAGGAAGAATATTTTTGCAGTTTACAGGAAAAAAAATTAGGTGACATATTTTCTTCTAGAGTTTCCTGCTTCGAATCATATGTATTTGGGTCATGTGACAACTCACCAGAACATCCTCTGGTCTGACACCAATAAGCAACATTTGCGATAATGCGTCGCTATCATCGCAATAAATCATATTAAAATTAAACGGTGTCACCCTTCCGCATCTAAATATGGCTTCAATTCTGCAAAGTAGTACAGATTTGAATATTATGACATTTAATTGAATTCAGTTTGGTTTGTGGCTGCAGGTGATGATGTCAGGGATGCGGAGGAGCTCAAATCTTCCCACAGTCTGCAGGAGGAAGACAGCGACTGTCCCAGAGACTCGGGCTGCTTCATCCCGTCAGAGTGTTCAGACAGCAAGGAGGACACAGAGCCCGTCACAGACGCCGTGGAGTCCTAAAGCACATGTTTGTCATTTGTATACTTTGATCAGAGTTTAAGTTGCACATTTTCTTGTGACTTTGATGAAAATGGTTTTAAAAGACTCATTTCATAACTTTCTGAAAATGTCACAATTGTATCCCTTGTTCCAGTGAGGGAACAAGGGATACAATTTGCTTTGTATATGCTAAAGCTTTCTAATGTGGAAGCTTTAGCATATACAAAGAAGAGACAATATTCTTAACTTCATATTATCTTTTTGTCACTTTATCACTATGATAGGTATAGGCATTGAGTTTTGGCAGTAAGTTGCCAAAATTTTGTCACATTAATGTCATTTGTATTTATTGCATTCTAAATCTTGAATTGTTTTTGCGTGTAAAGCTTTTATTTATCACAGCTGCATCATTTTGACCTTTCTTGTTACGTCTGATCTCTGTTTAACTTTCGGTCTACTTTCCTTTCCTGTGATTTAACAGCTGTTTGTATATTCAGATCTTGTCTGTAATGCATACTCTACAGATTGACAAGTATACTTTTTTCTGAAAGTGCATTTGAATGAGATTGTGTGTGAGAGAGCCTGTGTGTGAGCATTCCTGTGAAAAGGAGCATTCATTTATTTTCAAAACTTTTTGTAAATAAAGCATTTTAAAAATAGAGTTAAATATGTGGTTTGTGTTTATTTAAAGACTCTAAGTAATACAAGAGTACAGTCTCTGATAGAGCCAAGTCCACAAGTACATCTGTACACACGGATTGCACCTCTACATGAATTTAGCTTAATTACCACTAACACATGACCCTACACTGTGTTCACTGCATCATTCCATGTTTGGCACTGATCACCACCTGCACTCATATCTATCTACTTAGCACTTTTAATTCTTATGCTTATTTTTATTTTCATGTCTATTTTAGCTTAATTTATGACACTATGTTTGCACTGAAGCACCGCAGCAATTTCCTAATGTTGTAAACCTGCTCAACATTTGGCAATAAAACCCTTTCTGATTCTGATTCTGATTAAATTAAGGTCTACTTTTAATAGTACTATTGCTAATACTACTACTACTACTAATAATAATAATATTTAGTTAATAATTAATTTATTATATTTTACTTTTATTTATTCATGTTTGTATCGATTGACTAATTTATTTAATTAGTAATTTATAAATAAAAAAATAATTGTTTCGCCTTTCCCTGATTGGTTAACCTCGTGCATACGTTTCAAAATGCTCCCTTTGCGGTTGGCGTTGCTAGCTATATGGGATTTGTAGTACAAAGCGGCCGATTTCTGGGTTTCTGGTAGCGTTTGCGTAAACGACGTAAACTACATTACCCAGCATTCCCCACGAGCCGTGCAAAGTTGACGTGTATTTTGTTGGTGAACTGAAAATTTCCCGTTTGTCGTCATCCAGTTGTCAAAAGCCGGACACGGTTTCGACACAGCTTTTAATACATTTTTTGTGAATTTTAAGCGTCCGTTGACTTCGTAACGGCTTGTGACGATGGCCGGAGAAATCTCCATGATTGGTGAGTAGAAGCATAGCCGTTTTAGGGTGCTAATTCATGAGCTAATAATGGTTTGGTCCACCTGTGATGCGCGTGCTGTTACCGTCCCACAGGTTCGGTGATTCTGGCCCTGTTCTTGGCTGGCTACCTGGGTCAGCAGTACCTGCCTCCCCCAAAACCCAAGGTGATCGGTTTGGACTTGGGCACCACCTTCTGCTCCGTGGGGGTCTTCCACCCGGGCAGCGGGGAGGTGGAGGTGATAGCGGATGAAGAGGGGAGGAAGAGCATCCCTAGCGCGGTCTCTTTCACCACCACCGCGGTGCTGGCCGGACACGAAGCCGTGGACCTAGCTGACATCAACCCCCAAAACACCATCTACGATGCCAAAAGGTTCATCGGGAAGATTTTTGAGCCAGAGGTCCTAGAGAAGGAGAGCGCTAGGTACCCTTTCAAGGTGGGTCATCCTGGGCTGGGTTTGGAAAGTTTTCAGCTCAGACAGGCAACCAATCTAGCCACCTTTCCTAACTATGTGTATGCAGTGATATTAGATCCACACTTTAAAAAAAGCATCCTCTCATCCTTCTCTTGCCATAGGTGATAAACAACAAGGGCAGTGCAGAGTTTGTGATCTCCACCAACCACACCTTCACCGTTACCCCAGAGTTCATCGGCTCCAGGCTGCTGCTGAAGCTGAGGAAGATGGCTGAGCGACAGCTGGGTGTGGTGGTGCAGCAGGCCGTCATCTCAGTGCCTGCAGAGTTTGATGAGAGGCAGAGGGACTACACAGCGAGGGCTGCTAACCTTGCTGGTCAGTTTACTAATGAGTCTCAAGACTGCACATAATTAAACTGGGTTTACAGAGAGCTTTACCCAGTCTTTGAATCCATTACAGCGCTTCTTCTCAGGCATCATTAAAAACAACTCGTACCCCACATTAATGTTAGAAGTGTGTGCACGCTAACTCTTCCTTCGCTGTCTTCCAGGCTTGGCAGTCTTACGTGTGATCAACGAGCCCACGGCTGCAGCAATGGCCTACGGCCTGCACAAGGTGGACGTGTTTAACGTGCTGGTGGTGGACTTGGGAGGAGGGACTTTGGATGTGTCTTTACTCAGCAAACAGGGAGGCATGTTCCTCACTAGGGCAATGGCAGGTAATGTGCTTCACAGCTCCAGAAATAAAAGTTTGGTATAGTTGTAATAAAGTTGCGATAGACTAGCGACCCTTTCCAGGGTGTACCCTGCCTCTCGATAAACCCCACCATTCCTGACTGTAGAATATAATTTTAAAACACCATGGTAACAAACAAGCAACGTTACATGCTTCTATATACTCTAGAACCTTTTTTTTATGTTTGTCACACTTAAGTTTCTGATCATTTCATTTATTTATTTATTTCACACTTGGTTCAACAGTTTCAGCAGTCATCAAACAAATGTAAATATTAGACAAAGATGAGACAAGTAAACAAAAAAATGCAGTTTCTAAATGAAGGTGTTTGTTATTAACGAGGAAAAAATACAAACCTACTTGGACCTTTGTGTAAAAGTGATTCCACCCTAACCTAATAACTGGATGGGCCACCCTTAGCAGCAACAACTGCAATTAGGCGTCTTTTACAGCGCTGTGGAGGAATTCTGGCCCACTCATCTTTGCAGAATTGTTGTAATTCAGTCACATTGGTGGGTTTTTGAGCATGAACCATCTTTTTAAGATCATGCCACAGAATCTCAATCAGATTCAGGTCAGGACTTTGACTAGGCCACTCCAAAGTCTTCATTTTGTTTTTCTTAAGCCATTCAAAAGTGGACTTGTTGGTGTGATTTGAGTCATTGTCCTGCTGCAGAACGCAAGCATGTTTCAGTTTGAGGTCATGAACAGGTGGCTGGACAGGATGTTTTGGTAGACAACAGAATTCATGGTCCCATTTACCACAGCAAGTCTACCAGGCTTCTGAGGCAGCAAAACAGTCCCAGACCATCAAACTACCACCACCATATTTTACTGTTGGCGTTATGTTCCTTTTCTGAAATTGTGTGTTACTTTTACGTCAGATGTAATGGGACACGCACCCTTCAAAAAGTTCAGCTTTTGTCTTGTTAGTCCACAGAGTATTTTTCCAAAAGTCTTGGGGATCATCAAGATGTTTTCTGGCAAAACTGCGACAAGTCTTTTTTTCTTTTGCTCAGCAGTGGTCTTCGTCTTTGAAATATGCCTTGCATGCTAAATGACCTCATGTTTGTGTGTTTATTTTTAAAAAGCTGCATAGCTGCTGCTCTTCTGACTACCAAATAAGTGACTTACTGCATCTTGTGGTTCAAAGTGGTGTTAGGTAAGATTACAGGAGTACTGTGTCACTGTTGTTGTGGTGTCACCTCAGAGAAACGTTACGCTAAGGGTGGGGTGGGGGGTGGGGGTGGGATGGGGCATCGATACAGCATAGTATTGCGGTATTTTGTATGGCGACATTGTATTGATACAGGGACATCCATATTCAACATTTTATTAAATAAATGAAAAGAATTTGGGAAGACTGTAAACAAGAGGGCTCACCTCGTGCACTCCTGAGATGATGTTAGCCAAGCAAACTTACATGCAGTCCACTCGAATGTGTTAAAAACTATCCAACTAGCTTTGACAAATCTACCTACTTGTTCAAAGCAAGTTAACAGCTCAGCCACTCAATTAAAAATAGGACAGCAACTTGTTTATGTCTACAAAGAAATTGGTGGCTGCCTGGTGATTATATTGAATATTTTCACATTCTACGACATATTATAACTTGTGGCGACTACATTTTTTGGGTGTTGCACATTCCTGACCACTTTTGAACAAAAGGCAGTTGCACAGGTTGTCTGATAGGAGGCAACCTTTCTGCAAAACAGTTGCAGTCTGACTTGGACGGACTGCAATCACTTTGAGAATGTTAAAGGTTTGCAAATAATTGTATCATTTCTAAATGCAGACAGTCTGGTTGAATCTTTGGCGATGAGCACAACTCAAGGGGACTTGACTCAACTGGCTGTCTGCTGAATGTAATCTTGTTGTATTTCTGCAGAACAGGATTCCTACTGGCAACCACTTGATACTCAAAAATCCCATCTGTTTCAATCATTACTCGTGAATGGCTGCAGAATGAAAGCACTTACTCTTTTTGATATACTCTGTATTGTGACAGTGTTGTATTGTGTATACTGTACCTCTATACTATCAGTCTATAATGTTAAAGGGCTCTTTTGTTTGTTTGCTTTCAGGTAATAATAATTTGGGAGGTCAGGACTTCAGCCAGAGGTTGCTCCAGTACACAACAGAGCGAGTCCGGCAGGAGTTTGGAGTCCCACCCACCCTCAAGGAGGACATCCACCATCTCCGGCAGGCTGTAGAAGCTGCCAAGCTCAACCTGACCCTCCAACCTAGCGTAACCATCCGGGTGCCCCTGCACCTTCGCACTCTCGACAGCTTAGACAGCTCCACTCCGCCTCCAGTTCTCTTCCAGGCCGTAATCACTCGCACGCTTTTCGAGGAGCTCAATGAGGACCTCTTCCAGAAGATTCTGGCACCTGTGGAGACCGTGTTAGCTGAGGGTCACTTGGACAAGGAGGAGGTGGATGAGATCGTTTTGGTTGGAGGCTCCACCAGGATCCCGCGAATTAGGAGGCTAATTAGTGAGTACTTTGGAAAGGAGCCCAACACATCAGTGGACCCTGACCTGGCTGTGGTCACCGGCGTGGCCATACAGGCCGGCATCATGAGCGGCTCCTGGCCTTTACAAGTCAGTGCCATAGAAATACCCAACAAAAATCTGCGCAAGACGAACTTCAGCTAATCTCTGTTCCAGTGTTTTATTAGTATTTCATGCTTCTTTAATGCGCTTCTTTAACATCTGCTGATGGGAGGGAAAATAAACACACACACAATAAACCCGTCACCAAAAAGCTTACGATGCACAGCGGTCCTTCTGCTCGGTTGTGGAAATCGAGTGGACATCAAAGAAAGCAGACGGTGTACTGAAACAACATTCCTCTACAGCGACTTGTAACATCAGAGGTGAACCGTCTGGTTTCACATTCTGAGTAACAGCTGCTTTTGTTGTGCGCAAACTTGCAGTAAGACAGTGTCTCTGTCACGTATCTGCTGCACCGTTCAGCTTCAGCAGTCGAGGCTTAGTGGCATCAGATACTTAACTTGTGTTCAGGGAACAGCCACACCTTTCGAAAACATCAAGACTAGCCAGTACTGCTCTAGCTATTTATTTATTTATGTGTAAATTGTGTGGGTCTGATTGTGTTCGTGTGAGAGAGACAATGCGTGTAGGTGTTTAATTGACCTTTAATTTGAGTTCTTAATTATGGACATGCCTTTCAAAGGAGCTGCTACATTGTTTGACCTGCTCCCTCAGAGGCCTTCGTCCTGTTCATAATTTTGTAGAAGTCACAGCAACTAAGTGAGACCAGTTAAAATGTGTCCATATGCTTTTAAAACACTCAAATGTAGTGTAACTGTGAGGTGCAGAGTTCAGTCAACAGATGAAGGTACGTGCTGTGGAAAGCCTTTGTTTTTTTTTTTGTTTTGTTTTTTTACAGTACTGTAAATCATTAGCATCGTGAGAAAAATCCACATAAGGTTATTTGCCTTTAAAAGGGACTGAGGAAACGTGCTCAGTGTTGCACTTTAAGGACTCCACATGTTGACCAATGAGACTTTTTTGTGCAATAGAGCTGCTTTATTTAAATATTTGGGAGGACGGACTGCTTTTGCTGCTGTAGTTCAAGATGAGGATGACCAAAGCGTCACTCATCGGTGCCTTGTGTGTTTGATGCTGAGAAATGTGTTCCTGTCACATTTGGATATTTAAGAACGTGTTTGAACGAGATACAAGAAATTTTTGGTGTATATCCAATTTGGAAGTTCATCTCTGGAAAACAAACAGAAAAGCCGCTCTGATAGTTTTACTTTATTTCGACCAAGAATTCAGTGTGCCCACATTCCTTTGAAGTATCGCAAACTGTTTTTCCCCCCCCTGTTGTAATTCATAAATAGGTGTATTCACACCTGCTTTTGTATTTCACATTTTGATGTGTTAGAGCCTCCAGTAAAGATACTGTATGAATCATTTCAATTCCTAACAGGAATAATACCAGGATCTATTTTTATATTGCAACTTTTACCAAGTTTAAGTGTATTTGCCTGAAAATGTCAACAGTCTGCTTTTTGACCTATTAAAAATGAGTTTCTGTCTTCTTCACTGTCCTTTCCTTTTGCAAAGTCAAACTTTTTTCAGTTTTGTATTTATGACTGTCGGGTACTGAGGTGGGGTGATGCAGATGAAGCTCATGTACTCATCTAAATTTTATCTGAGGCCTCTAATAGAAGGCGGAGAAGTTCAGAGAGTAGATGAGTGAAGCTGTAATACCTCCCATTAACATAAATACATTTAAGCTCTGACATACATGAGTTACTCAAAATAACAGTTTCACTTCTGCCAAGTGACCTTTACCAGATAACTTAAATAACCCTTTTTAAGATCTTAATGAGGACACTGCACCCTTCTGAGAATTATTGAACCTACACGCTTTACACTTATCCAGACAAACATGATTTCAAAAGCTGTGCAAGAGAAAAGGGAAATATAACCCAAAACACTGTTTTATTTCATTCCTTAAGACTTTAATTTAGAGTTTATAACATTTGCTTCTGAGGCACAGTAATACCCAACATAAGAAAACACAAAAAGGTAATCATCTCTTGACCTGTTCTGATACCAGTCGTATCCCTTAGATTAACTTGCAGCTTCATTTTCACATTTGGTGCCCACTTCATCTACCTCACAGCGGTCAGTTTCACAACAGCAACCAAGCTTTAGATGCATTTTGTTCGTCTGCACTGAAATACCACAAGACTTGACTGCTGTACTTGAACTCAAAGGCTGCACAGGAAGTGAAATCTAATAGGACCAGACTATTGCTAAACTGTCACGTAAGTTCAGATGCCTTTGTGGGCTAGAGCATCTCACGCATTAATCACCTTTTACATACAATTACACACTCAGCACTGCACACATTTATATACCCAGTCAAACACATAATACACATTAAAAATGTACATTCACCATTTACCATAAAAACAGGAGCACAAGTCTCCCCCCCCCGGACCATTTAAACCAGGTGTACTGGGAGCACAGCTCACATGAGTCAGTAGAAGGGATACTTAGAGTTACATGCATTGGTAGGACAGCAGGGCTCTGAGCCTCTATCAAAATAATTCTCTTACATACACCATGTGAGTTTGTCACCTGGAGGAGAAGGCAGGACTTCTGTAAACAGCTTCTGAATTTTTTTTTCTTTTCTATTTAAATATTACTGTTGGTAAGTTTACTATAAACTACAGCATAGTGCTGCCAGGAGGCAGGATACAATGGGCTGTAAGCTATTAGCCCCATGCTGCGACAAAGCCACAATAAAAAATAAAATTCATCTGAAGAATATCTGATGGCGCTTAAAAGAATGAACTGCTTTGGGAAATTAGCTCAAAAGAAATAAAGAAAGTTGATCTTTGTAAAGAAACAGGCCATGGGAACTCAGAGGAACATTTGGAAGTGAGAGGAGGAGGAGACAAAATTCAATCAGTACAAAGTGCTCTTTGAAATTGTACAGTATGTGTGAGGGGGAGGAAAAATAGTACTATTTACAGAGTATACACAAGGATACTGCAGTCTGCCGGTTAATCGGGGCAGCAGAGGCAGAGAGACACTTTTACACTGATAAACTGGAATGACGGGATCGCTGAGTAGTGTTGTTTTCATCCTGTGAGGCGAGATCACTGGCTGATGCCCTGATTGGCGTAGTAGTCGTAGCTGTCTCCATAGAGCTCCTCGGCACTGCCAACTCCGTTCCTCACCTCTGGAGGGCGCCAAAGGACAAGAAACAAAACAACTTGTTTCAATGATACATTTCCAGCTCTTTCTGACCTCTTCTCATTTACACAAACATCTTTCCCCAGCAGGTTAACAACACTGAAGGATTGGAAAAATGATAAAGAACCACAAACAGCTGGCACTTACATCACTCACCTTTGACCTCCAGTACCAAGGGCTGTCTACACAGACTGGGACATGATTTTCCCCTGGCAGGATTTTGGGGGAGGACAGATGTGTGAAGGGATGGATGGATGCAGGTATGATGATGGGGAAAAAGGGCAAAGTAGGCAGAGAGGTGGAAGGTAACAAGGGATGCAACGGATGAAGGGAACAAAGGAAGAAGTCACTGCTTGTGAAGGATGAAAAGGTGCTGAACATCACACGGAGGATGTAGGAGGGAGGCTGTTACTGGGGCTGACCTTCAACATGGAAGAGAGGAAGAGGAGGACCAAGAAGATTTACAGACACTCAGATGCATGCTGGGATGGACTGGCATGCTATTTGGGCACCTGAAGTCTAAAAAACAGGTTATGGAGGTTCAAGAGCCCAAATTAATGAAAAATAAATAAATAAATAAAGACTGGTAAATAATTCAATTTTTCTTTATTTCACTGCACGGGCCTTACCAGAGAAAATAAGTTTCTCCTTCATGACGTTGATGTCTCCACTGGACCTCCTGACCGCAGCATTCAGCATGATCTGTTCAGGGTTGTAGCTGCGCATACCGCTCATCCGATACCTGCAGTGTTTGCACAGGCTGCATCAGAAATCACCACGAGACACAAGGACACCCTAAAGACAGCTGCACTGGATTACAGCCTGGACATTTCAAATTGTAATAAGCAACCTGGTCTGTGTGCATGCCTCACTCTGTTAAAATGTACAGATTGGAACAAATTATGTTCAGGAATTGTTTGTTTGATACTTCACATGCTATGATGCAACATCCAACCGATATCGGTCAAGTGTATGAAGTATGGCGTTCAATTTGGAGGAAAAAAAACAAACGAACAAAAAACAACAGACTTCTCATAGTGTGTATATATGTATGTATAGGTACTGATCGGGTTTAATTGTAAGTAATAAGGTAAAAGCATCACTCCTTTATCTTTGGAAACACTTGAACGTATTTCATTAAAGATGTGCATTTTGCTGGCAAAATGATCATTTAATTAATGAGTCAATATTCACCGCTCTACTGTTCTCTTAAAATATACTGTCACTCATAGAAAAAAAAAAAAAAACAATGTTTCGTTAACAATTAAAAACATATCAACTATTTTCTTATACAAGTGGTTTATCACTGTTTTGTCTTTGCTAGATTATCGTTGCTGACAGGCCACTGATTTCATTTCCTGCCTGCCACAACTTCATCCTCGTTTTAATGAAAACAGCCCCGATTTCAATTCAATTAACTTGGAAGCATTAGTCACAATGAACTGTGACTAATGCACAGAAGCATTTAGAGACACAAACAAGCCAGGATTCAGAAAGCCAATCCTGAGGCCTTTCCTGGATGAATCGAGAGCTCCAATTCATTTTGGACATTTAGTCGTTAACTTATTAAGACTGATGAGACATTTAAACTCTCACTGTGGACTATTTTTTGTGCTGTGTGGGTAGATTACATTTCATTTGTTTAGCAGAGGAGAATGAGGATGAGAAGTCGTCGCTGTCATAGAGGAAAGCACAGCAGCAGTGCAATACATCCATTCAGGTGAGACAGAGAAGAAGGTGAGAATAAATATAGGAAGTGGAACTAAGGTGGAGAGAAAAAATCTGGATGAGATGGATGATATAGTAACAGCAGAAAAAAAAAAAAAAAAAAAAAAAAAGAGGAAATCAACGATGCATCAAACAAAGGAATGATGGGTAAAGATTATGAAAGGTAGAAAGGTGGTGAAAGGAGAGAAGACTTTGGGTCAGGAGAGGCGACCCAGTTACCTGATCATGTGATAGCTGAGAGAAGATGCCAGAATGCAGCAGGAGGAGGAGGAAGAAGAGCATGCACGTCAGGCAGAGGAGAAAGGACGAGGAAGAGGCGGAAAGAGAAAAAAGGACAAAAGAAGGCGGGAGACAAGAGATCAGTTTAGAAGCCAGCAGAAGCTATTAAATAGCTCCAATAATCAGAGTAGACTCATTTTGAACCCTTATTGTGGAACAGATTAATAAATAAATCAATGCCCTTGGTGCCAGTGATGACAGGAGGACAGGCCATCTGTCTCTGGGGTCATCAGAGAAACAAACAAACAGCACTTATAACACAGCAGAAACGCAGGGCAGGGAGTGTGAAGGGCTTAGCAAAGAGAAAACACGTTTATATAAAAATATTCACCCTTCTCCAGCCTGGGACACAACAGAAATACACATGACTGCTTATAATGCCACAAAACAAAATGGGTTTTAAAGAGATTCTCATTTGATTAAAAAACAGCATCATTATGTAGGAGCTGCTGATGTGTTCCAGACAGGGAGATGTCTACTGAGTAAATGTGTTTGTCAATTAGCAGTAATGAGTGTATTTAAGTGTGAAAGAGGAATAACACACCTGCAGAAAAATAGAGGAACATTAGCTGTTGTGTAAGAGCTCGCTTTAATGATCTCACTGCTGTGTGTGTACTTACTTTTGGAAAATGAATATGCCTATGACTACAGCGAAGGAGATGAGGTCTGCAGACACCCACGCCAGGCAGTACACATTTGGTCTCTGGAAACACACACACACACACACACACACACACACACACACACACACACACACACACACACACCACACACACACACACACACACACACACACACACACACACACACACACACACACACACACACACGATAGATCTGAGTTTTGTCTTGAAGTCATTTACAGCAGGATCCATCACAGGGTGGCGCTATATGCCAAAGAATACAGTTAATTTCAGCTGAATTGTGCTGAACTGTTTTTTTCTGAATAAACCCACTAAAATAACAGTTTTTTTAAACAAACACTGACACTGTCAACATTATCATTTACTACAAACATAAATGCAAATCTCTACTTCCTTCCCCATTACCTTCTGTTGGTCTTAATGACAACTCATAGCATATTTGAGAGGATATTTTTCACAGTTGGGTTTAACAGACAGCGCCGCAGATGCTACGAAAGCCTAAACTGTCCCTGAGCCGTAGCAGTGAGCTGGAGGTCATGTCCACATGTTGTCATGCAGAGTTCCCGTATGGTGCCACAGATGGGGGGAGCGGTTTGGCGCGCTGCACATATGAGGGCGAGTGGAAGGATAGCAGAGAGGCTGCCCATGTTGAGAAGTTTCAACAGGAAGACTGAACTAGAAAAGAATGACACTACAGCAAACAGGAGTTCAGTTCAAAGCTAGGCTCTCCTTTTGATATCAATCAGTAAAATCTAATTTAGTCAAAGAGAGGATGAAGCTGAAGGAGAGGGAGGTTAAAGAGGGCCCTCGCAGCCTTTACAATAAGCATGTATCTAGTAGCTCCCTTAATTAGGTCCAAATTAAATTAAGATACAGGTGGGCTCCACTCGAGTTGTAGTAGCATCTTAAGGACCACTGGTTGAAGCAGGATAGAGCCAAGCTAATCAGCGATTGCTATAACTGAGTCTCTGAATACAATTTTATTTAATTTTTATTTGTTTGGCACCAATTAAAAACAGGTAAAGAGCCTTCAATATTAGAGAGAAACCTCAGCAATCAGACATGAGTAAAAGTAAGAATTTTAAACAGTAAGAGATCTACATGATGCCTGCTGGTTGGAAGAAGAGGCTCAAACTTACAGTTTATAAATGGGATGTGTCATTCTCTTTGATTTTCTATAAATTAATAAAACACCTGCTGAATACACATATTTTAAGACACGTCTGCAACAAGATTTGGAGAGCAGAAAAGGTCTGAAAAAATCTCAATGCAGTAAAGGAGCAAGTGGGGGGGGGAAAGGAAATCATTCAAATAGAAGATCAGACACCCCCCCCAAAACAATTAACTTAAAAGCAAAATGTGAACCCAAAAGACTTATATAAAACTACTGTGTGTGATGAGTCCTTACCATTAACCAGATGGGGTAAGGCACCTTTAGGAGGACATGCGGGGCCTCCGAGGAGACTGATGACACCCCGCTGCACCAGAGCACCGAGTACAGCCAGGGCTCGTTGACTGTGTAGAGGGTGAGATTGATGTGGGCCTCGGAAAAGTTCCTGGGAAAAAAGGGGGAGAAAAAAAAAAAAAAAAAAAGGAAAACATTCAGGCACTTATAAATCTTTGTGCTGAAGCTGCAGACTGATAACACAACATCAGGGCTGTGTGTCTTCCTACCTGATTTCCTCTCTACTGACTTGGTTGTATCTGAGCAGCAGGCTGCTGATGCCGGACTGCTCCAGAACTTGAGGGCTCCGTTTCACCACTGAGGTCTGGATCAGATCAGGTGCTAGCTGTCTCACCTGGGCTCTATTGTCATCAGGCGTCCATATCACCTGGACACGGCACAGTACGTCAAACAGTTACAGCTTTGAAACTCTATCACCAACACAACTATTTTTATAGGATTTGCATTTGAACTCATTCGTTTTGCATGTAGCATGCAAACAAAGAAACACCGGACATCACGCAGTGAAAAAGAGCAAACACACACTGCCATTTAATCCCTATATAACTACCAGGCTTTGAGGAACCCCAGATTGCTGCACAGCTTGTAGTGTATCGTTGATCCAGCTGTCGTAGCAGGGGTGCTTGGGAGGAGGTCTACGCAGCCTGAAAACCACCGTGCTGTTGTGATATGAGGCTAGTTCTAGAAGCTGCTCCAGGCTGCACACGGTCTGGTTGGCGATCCGTTCCTTCTCACGTTGAAGCAGCGTGTTCACGGTCCAGAAGGGGTCATCCTGAAACATCACACACACAAAAAAAGGAAGAAAAAAAAAAAGTGATCATCAGGTTTACAGTTTAAATGAAAGAAAAATACAGGTTACAATACAGCTTTATAACACTTTTATCAACATAAAAACTCAAAAGATCATTCAGTACATCGTTGGAGGACGCCACATTTCTCGCTACACTGCTTACTCCCTTTGGAGAAGATCCTGAGAAGATTCTTTTAATCTATGATAAGATGCCATTTCACTTTTTTTGACTAGAAAACACTTCATTTCTGCCTTTTATATATTGGAGAATACATATACACTACAGATTAGGTGATGAAAAATCATTGTTGAAATTACATGGAGTGGTGGTACGGCTTTTCTTAGAAATGCAATATCTATCCACACAGTGTGCACACATGCAGTGTAAACACAAGACGGGAAAGTAATGAAGATTCAAACAAATACAGACAGCCACATCTCAGTCTTTGCACATCATGGTCTCATCTCATAAGAGCTAAGCTAAAGAAGGAAACATTTTAAAGCAACAAACCTGCACTTTTAGACATGGACAGATTAATGAAAAAGCAGTCCTCGAGTGACGGCTGTTTCATGTACGAGGATGACAGTGAAACATGGCACTCATCGCACCGCAGCTCCCAGTAAAGCTTTGGTGAGTGTTAACATTTTGATGAAAGCCAACGACATCATGAATGATCTAGAGATGGCACGATACCACTTTATGTCCGATACCGATACCATAAATTTGGATTTCTGCCGATACCGATATGAATCCGATATAGTGTTTTTTAATCAACAAAACTGTTTTTTTAAATATCTTGCTGCATTTTGTATAAGTTCATACTCAAGTTTAAAACAACAACTACACTAAAGCTATTCTGTTATACCTGTATGCAAAAAAAAATTTCATAGTTCAGCAATACTGATCAATCTAATAAACTTAGACCTACACCATTCTCCCTATTCTGGTATTTTAAAGAGTACTTAGCGTAAATATTAAGCAACCTAACTAATAGGGTTCCAACTCCCAGCAACAACAAAAATAAATAAATAAAAAATAGGGAACCACCCCTCACGCTCCACCTCATGATGCTTAATCAACGTAATCAACCTTAATTTGATGCAGTGTGGAAAAAAAATGCACAGAAATCAATTATTTTTCAAGAAATATTAAATAGATTCAACATCTTTCTTCAACAAAATTGCAGACTGCACAGATGGTACCTTCCCAAAGGAAAATGTACTATAGCTTACTAGGGTATATATATTAGACTTAATAGTCACTATATACAGTAATTGACTTCTATTCATTTTACATCAAATTAAAACTTTGGGTGTAAGATTCGGATAATTATTTATTAAAAGCTCGACATTTTAAATGAAAATAAGAAAGAAAAGTATGTCTTTGTGCCCCCTTTTCCCTGTTAATGCCCTATCGGCTCCCCTGGCTAAACTTTGCTAGATCCGCCCCTGCACAGTTACCAGCCGTCAGCTACGTAGAAAAAGATCCTCGAGTAGAAAGTAATATTAAATACATTCTAACAACAGCTGATCAAGCTTAAACGTGCTGCTGTTGTTCAGCTGCTGGTTTCCTCTTTCTGGTGCAAAGTGGGCCAAAAACAAACCAGAGAGACGGACTCGCGACAGAAAAGCTGATCAGCTGATCATTAAGCAGTTTCATGATTGAAGTAGCAGCCAGAAGAGGCAGTCGCTCCATATATCGTTTGGTAAGATTAACGCAGGAATGCTTTACAAACATTCAGAGATGGACTTACACACTTGCTTTACTTCTCTCGGGGATAACTTTGTCGGAGATGAAATACCGGGTTGCTAGCGAAGCTCCACATGCTATCCAGACCACTGACAGGTCCCGCATGCCACAGCCGCTCTATCACGTGATGCATACTGCTCCGACGTGCTAACGTTCTGAGGTGAGTTACGGCGTGTTGCAAGTTTTGTGAGGTGCTTTCGTGATATTTAATGGATCGGATTACATTTTTTATTTTTCTCCGATATCCGATCCAGTAATTTAGGTCAGTATCGGACCGATACCGATACGTAATATCGGATCGGTCCATCTCTAGAATGATCAATGTGCGATGCCGTATAGCATTTATGGCTCACTGGGATAATGGCTTTTGTTGCACATCAGTGCATCCCGGCACGCTAAAGCTAAGACTACTTTCAAATAAATTCACAGATTTAGTCCTTATTAGAAACCAAGAACTACCTTGAGGAACCAACGTCCAGCGTTGAGCTGCTGCAGATCCGTCCAATTGAAAAGTGAGGCTTCGTCCATCTGTCTATCTGGAAAAACCTTCTCTACGTCTGTGGTCCTTCGCAGGGTAAAGTCACGCATCAGGAAAGGAACACCATCCATGCTAGCAAACAAAAGAATTAAGAAGTAATTAATATTTGCAGCTGATGTGTATGAGAGAGATGAAGGTTCCGAAAATAGCAGAGAAGAGATAAGAGCTGAAATCGTGCCAAAGGAAAATGCTGCTGCTGACCAATATGTGAATTAAAAAAAAAAAAAAAAAAAAAAACCTGAGCTCATATCAAGATCATTTCCAAGAAAAGACAAAAGGAAAAAGCCCTTCCATTCTCTGTATTTGTCATTCAAATACTAATCGGAAAAACAAACTAAGCATTTGACTAACAAATATTCTGCTAACACATATAGGTGGGTGTTTGTCTGTGTTTGAACTGTTAGTTTCCAAAACAGCATCATCATGTGTGGGGAAAAGAAATAAATAAATAAAAATCATGTTCTATAGTATGAATGCGTGCACACATGAGCATTTGTCTCCAGTCTGCTTCAGGAGTGGAGTCTCTTTGTGGATCTGGCTGTCATCAGGTCTAATTACTCAGCACCGTTAGGAGCCCACCTGTCAGCAGCCTGAACATCACACACCCATTCACCTCTCTCAGGACCACACACACACACACACACACACACACACACACACACACACACACACACACACACACACACACACACACACACACACACGATTGCTTCAAAAACATCTAATCAAATTAGGATGCACTGACGGTCTTAAAACACTCTGCACTATGAAATGTGGCTCTAAAACACAAACACACACTTTGTGGCCGGCATCACTCTCCACCTCCACACAATCACTCATCCTCCATAGCCGTACATGCATGAGTAGACATGGGCACCCACTATTCATCATATAGTATGGACTATCCACCCACCCAATTTCCTGCCTTCCTCCAAGTGTGCCTCTCTGAGCTCAGCCCGTCTTCATTATGTTGGTAAAATCATGCAGGAATTGATAACTACGGACTGCTACTATACTTAACAGCGGTATGTTCAATGCATAATGCCTAAGATTGTCCCTTTGGTATTTGGAGTACACAATAATAATAAAACAAAAAACAAAAAAACAAAATCCCAAGCAGGTCTAAATGTGATACGTGGTCCTGTGTGACCTGAACTGATTGAGAAATTTTTGAAAAGCCAGTGATTGTGATAATCTATGAAACCCAGTGTGTGTGTGTGTGTGTGTGTGTGTGTGTGTGTGTGTGTGTGTGTGTGTGTGTGTGTGTGTGTGTTGGGGGGGGGGGGGGGGGGGGGGGGGGGGGGGGTACTAAACCTTTTATTTGCTTTCCTTTATCATTCTCTTGTATTGATTGTGTGTGCGTACCTGATAGCCACGTCAGCCTCCAACCCAGTGACATTCATCTGCAGCGCTCGCTGGAAGGACCAAATTGTGTTCTCTGGAGCAAGCTACAAACACACTCACAGTAAAGGACAAGCACAGAATTTTTTTTATTTATTTATTTATTTTAACACATAGCCCCGTAACAATGACCTAACTTCTGACTTTTCTGAAGTTGGAGCTACATCTCTTGATAAGAAAATGACACAGAGAAAACGTTTTTACATGTATTTATAAAGCTTTCACACTCTGTCCTGTTCACAAAATAATACACACTCTGCCCTCTGAACACAAAGGATTGTGTGTAATGAAAAAAGTCACAGCTGCAGCTTGCCCTTTAACTCTTCTGGTCGAGGGTATGATCAATACCATACCATCACTTACTAGAATAGTATCATCCTATGAAAGCCTGTGAGTAAAGCTACTTGCCTGGGAACCACAGGAAAGGAATGATGCTATAATCAATACAGAGTGATTCTGGGACAAAGAGTCCAGTGATGTGATCACTGTTTCCCAGTGGGAGTCTCACAGCCTTCCACAGCCACTCCTAAATTTAGATTCCACAGTGAGAATCAATTGCCTTGCACAAATAGCACAAAAATCTGGGTGTGTTTTTGAGCGTGTGCGTGACTAACTGTTCTGAACAACCATCTTCTCGTTCCTTCTAACAGTTGTGTAATACTCAACAGTACGTTTTGCCAAGGGCTTAAGTTTGTCTGCAGGTGATGTTAAGAAGCAATGGCATTAACCCAAGCACATAAATCAATCATGCAAAAATGCACTTTGCTTACAGATCATATGTTAATGTGGCTAACCATTCCAGCTCCAAGTAAGAGTCTAACTGGTGCTTAAAAAAAAAAAACTACAAACAACACTTTGTCTTTGGCTGTGTTACACCGCAGTCCAGAAGAACATGTAGGTATGGAGCGCTCCCAGCTCACATAGTTTTTCTATTTTTCAGTTGCACACAAGTTAATATGCTGACACAGTCCTTTTGTTTTTCATTCAGAAAAGTGAGAAAAACAAAACAAGGGACTAATATAAAAAATAACAATATAAAGCAGCACAATTTTTCCTGGGACTCTGGGAGCCTTGCTGCTAAGCCAATATCAGGACTCTGTATGTTACTGTACGAACATGTACATCAATTTATTTATTTATTTCGTTTTAAATTCTCATTCAGAATGGAAGCTGGGCATCAGCTGACTCACCATAGGGGCTCCTTGATGGCCAATAACAGCAGGGCGTGGTTTGAGGGTGGCTGGGTCCATGATGCAGGGAGAGGTGATATGTAGGGGCACCACGTAGAGTGCTAGTAACACACTGACATACAGCAAAACCACCACCACCTGGAACACTGGAAGAAGATATGCAGCATCAACATAGTTACAGTTGTTAGCTGTGATATAATGAAGTCTAGTTTGACTTTGGGGAAATTTGCTTTTATGATGACTACTGTAAGAACACTCCAATAGGAGCATAGCATAATAACTGGAACTGGGGAAATGGGTAACACAAAATCTACCATTCAGCACCTCCAAAGCTCACCAAACAGCTCATTATACACAGTTTGTGAAAGATGCTAGGTGCTAGGAGTGTGCCAAAATCAGTTACCTGTGCAAAGGCAGTAAATATCTGAATGTTCAGCAGTGCTTAAAACTACACAGTGGCCAACAACACATCCATCGGGGCCATAGAGATTACCCTGTGTCCAACTCTGTATGAGTGTGTAATGATGGCTCAAAGTGGGCACCCACACACAGGAATGTATTTGTTTCAAGGTCAGCTCCGGGGCGGGGTTCAGTAGCCAACTCTTGTTACACACAGGAGACTCACACAACCCTCATCCACCCTCTCACTCGCACACACACTCATACCCTCTTTGATATTCAGTTGCTGTTCTGCACTGAATAAGATAAATTTTGCCAAGACCTTTTCACCTCATCAAGTATATATATAAAAAAAAAAAAACCCTCAAACATAAACATAAAAAATGAAGCCAACAACTAAACAGTCAGGCAAGTTATTTTCCATCTTTCAAAGAGACAAGGGCAAATTCTTTTGAGCAATGATCATTTAGATGTATCAGGTTTTATCACTAAAGACACATTTATCTTTGAAAAAACAATAACTTGTAAGTAATTAGCACTTAATGATATACCATTAATGCATCAGTTTTTTGGTAGCCAACACTGTGGCTCCCCCTTGTTCAAAATCTCAAAATCATAAATCACAAAGACTTTCAAGTTCTTTTTAGGTGTCTGCTTTACAGACACCAGTGGCAGTGAGAGTGAGGACAGAGCACACATTCAGAGCTAACGATCCCCACAAAGAGTCCTGAAATCAAGGACAAACAATTCAAAATGTCCTGGGTGGAAAACATCACATGAGACCGGAGGAATGTTCGTTATCTTGGACACCCTGGGTGGAGGTCTTGGCCTCTTGTCTACATAGTGTTAATCATTCACAACTCCTCCTGTGTATGTGTGTGTTTGATCTGTGGCTGATGGTAACGTCAGGTAAGAATGGACTTGAATGTTGTGTTACAGAAGCACACATACTCATTTTTTCTGCACGGGTGACCTGTCCAGCCACAATCCAAGATAGTGCCGTGACTGCGGCGAGAGCCCCGATGTGCAGGAACGGGCCTGTAGCCTAAACAGAGGTGTGAAACAGAAATGAATGCGGGGGTATGTAGACAGAAAAGGTTAGAGAGAGTTAACGATTGAGTAGAGGAGGAGAGAAACAAAGACAAAGAAGACAGAGAGACATGGAATTACAGATATTATCTGGAGTTGAAGCACTGGCAACACTATTTAGAGATAATAGCTGTAATTTGTAATGGCATTTAATTTTAATGGCCACAGTTGGAGTCAAATCATGTGTCCACTTCAATCACACATTTCTGGTGGTGCAACAATCCCAAACGGACACACTAACTATAAGGTTATTTAAACTTCTCTGATGTAATTTAATTTTAGAGACACTGCAGTTGCTGTAGTACCGCATAGACAGTTTACATGATTACACATTCCTCCAAATGGCAAGCAGCAGAGTATCAACTGCTACAGCAGGCACACAACGATTATTTTAAAGGGACATTTAAAAAAAAAAAAAAAAAAAAAAAAAAGCTGTATATGGATGTACAAGATGGACCGATTGTTGTAGACACTGATGTGTAGTGTAGGAATTACACCAGTTTAAATGGGCATGTGCAAACCTCCACAGCACTACAAAGGAGAGACACTTCAGTCCACCCTGGCTGTCTCTGTGAAAGAAAACTGATTATAGCTCCATTACTGAGCCATTATTATATCAAGGCCGACAACCTCTGGTCAAAGTGTTGGTTGTTGTGTGAAAATAACACTGTGCCTCTCGCCTGTGGATCACAACACTCACTTTAGTACGGAACCTAAGCACCAGCTGTGATGTCTACCCATCACAAGTAGTTTAGGGTGATTTAAGTCTGCTGACCTGCAGGGAGATGGGGATGACATCCCACTCTTGCGCCCATGTTTGATTGACAGATATGACCCCAATGATGGTGGTGAGCAAAGCAGCAGTAACTCCTATCTGTGTGGAGAAAGAGGGAGAGACACCAAAAGAGGTTGTTTGTTTAGACACACATATGCACCAGAATAACCCAGAGTAGCTCGCAGCTCTTTCACATCTCAAACAGTGTTTGGTAACTGTATTTGATTTGCTGACAGCATTTCTGAACAGCTTGTTTTCTGGGATTATGCAACTCTGCTGGGACAACTCCAAACTATAAGTTGGGAAGTTCAGCTGATCAGCAACGATTGGACACAGCAACACACACAAACACTAAGTAAACACATAACAGAGTTAAAAATACATATGTAAAACTCGCCCGCCCCCCTCCCACCACCCATTTTTCACAAACCACACACAGACACATTAACAGTTGCTCAGCTTCACATTTGGCATGTTACCTTATGAAGCCAGTGCAAATTTAACTGCTGCCCAAGTGCAACGTGGCAAAGTGCTAAAACCTGAAGAGAAAGACAGAAAGAAACAAGAACAAGGTTCAGAACAAGCCTGCTGCCTTACAGATCTCAACTTGCTAATCGTTGTTATGTAAGTGGTTACCATATCTGGCAACACATGAAGACAATTTTAAAATCTCTTCAACGATATGTGACTCACAATTAGAAAAGCAATATAGGTGAAGCCAGCAGCGGTGGTGGCTAGGATGGGAACAGTGCCATCACTCCACTCCCCAGAGCGGTTGTACAGGAACCTGCAGAAACAAGGATAACAACATTTCTTGTCTTCATCACACCTAATAAAAAAAGGGTGTGAAGGCTTGTGAGAATAGAGTGTCAGTGTATATATGTGTCCCTATTTTCTCCTACCTATTATCAGCCGTTTTTCTTTCTTACAAAACAAACATGACTGACAAACTACCAACAACATTATGTTAGATTAGCTGCAGAAGTCCACAAAGAAGCAGACTTGTACAAAGAGACAAAATGATGCAATCTACAGTTGAAACATGACATTGATGTAGAAAGCTGAAAATGGAAACTATTGGTTTACTAAAGGTCTCTGATTGACAGGCAGACATCAATAAAGTGCTCTCAAGCTTTGTGTTAGCAACAATAATGCACAGACTCTGCACAGTGACCACAGACACTGTTTCTGTGCCACAGGGAAAATCTGACAAAAATAGATTATGTAACATTATTAATGGATGGTTGGACAAATTATTGAGGACTGGCTTCTGTTTTATGGGATGCTTTACTATAACATGCAACTACATATAGCTATATATAGACATAAAAATATACGCATGCTACTCTGAGTTTAAATCCTCTGAAGAGTGACACTGGGTGTAACACCAGGTCCACAGCTGCAGAGAAAAGATGAAGTGCCTGAATGTATTTGTTTCTGTGCATTTCTTTGGGTGTGGGTGTGCACATTTTTAAATGACAGCTAGGTCCTTTACATTCAAAGCCTTGTGCATGATTCTAGTGGCATAGAGCCACAGCAGGGTCACTTAGTGCAGATGCTCCTCAGCCCTTTGTGAATGCTTTTTATGCTACACATGGACATAGATACTCCCTGCAGCTAAATCACTCAGTCATAAAGACAGGGATGGCAATTGCTGCGATCATCTCTGGAAATCCCACAAAAGCAGGGTAAAAAGAAGGAAATTTGCTATAAAGAGGGATGGCAAATGTCTATTGGAGATGTAAATGTGGATAAATACACACAACTTAGACAGCAGATAAAACTGGACTGTCTGCAGAGCTCCAAAGAGGATGGCAAACATAGCCAAAGGAAAAAGGTCAACAGGGGGCATTGTAGTCTACTACAGCTCCATATATTCTTGGATACTACTAGGGTTGTTTTGCATGACTCAAAAATAATTCTTATTTATCCTGCCCTGGGTTTGGTGCAGCCACTCAGTTCAACCACCGTCTGGAACAGCCCGTTTTAGCTCCCTTTCATATAACTTTCTACTGTCTGGCTGCCCCTCGCAAACTCGATCTAAACAGGAAATGGGTGAGCTGTGCACCTAAGATGGTCATTTTAGGGATATTTGCTTTCAGTTAAACTGCAAAGGACCATGAGTGGGGAAAAAATAATAAAAAAAAATCTACCCAAAACTAGTCTGAGGCCTTTAGGCCCATTTTAAGGCCCAGCTTTGTTACTTATTGTGAATCAAAAGCTGGGCCTTAAATGAAAAAAAGAGCTGGGAGATCACTGAAAACTACAGAGGTGAAGAAACGAGGAAAGGTAATGGAAGCAACGGATGATAATAAGAGGAAAAGGTGACATTGTTGCAGAGATCCCTGAGAGGAGAACAGAGAGAGGAGAGGGAGGGGAAAGTTTTCATCACCATCATGTGATGTCTGCATACTCTTTAGAGATTTTGCACTAAAATGGAAACATCAGTGTCGCTAATCAGTTAACATTGCCTTGCATTTAGTATCTTAAAAGGCTCAGTTTCCACAGACATTGATTAAACCCATTCCTCAACCATAAACACAGGAGGCCTTCACTGAATTTTTCTTTTAGTCTAGGATTAAACCGTAGTGTCCGCTCTGTGAGAAGATGTAAGTGGTTGTCCCAAAAAACAGTAGTGGGTTAACAAATACAAATGTATATTGTCAAATATACATTTGTTCGATTAAATGTGGCCCAGGACTGAGTGGTGTACAAAACAGGAAGTTGATGGGTGAGGACCTCTGTGACGTAATGGTGTAATCTGCACAGGGTTGGGTGGTCTCTGTTCAGATTAATAATGCCTTGATTATACTCCGTTGCAGACACGGACAGCTGAAGAGTCGAGTGGTCGTTCCTATTTGACTTCTTTGAAGTTCGTGGCCTTTGGTGCATGTGTAGTTGGTGCATTGTAGAATAAATTATTCGCAGACAAGACTGCATAGTCACAAAATGCTAAAATAAATAAATAAAAACCCCAAAAAACCCCAAACAAAAAACAAAAACAAGCAGGCAGATGTCCCTACAGACCCTTGCGCTCACTGCTTTTCACTGATTGTGAAATGTACGTCAGTCAGATCCGAGCGGACCATAGCTGATTGAAGGTGCTGGAAGTATAATTGAGGCTTCTGGCAGAAAACAGGTTAAACTGATTGTTTACAAAAACAACAAGCCAACAAGTAAGGGTTGAATGTGTTTACAGCCAAAACTATATGCTGGCAGCCTCTGACAACACACAGGGGCACTTTTGTACTCACCAGTTGAACTCGCTGTAGTCATTATGTGCCTCCCACCAGAAGTAGAACCAGACAAGCAGGAGACAGAAGGTAAGGAGGAGGATCAGGGACCACAGAAGCTCCCACTGCACACACAAACAATTATTTATGTGGCTCCTCCATATTTAATTATAACAGACTTGAGAAGATGACTTGAGTCCTTTTGACAATAATAAAAACAACTGAATTACAAACAATCTGCTGAATTCTACACACAGTAATAGAGACACTCTGTATAAATTATTGGATAGACAGTCACAATTTAAGTACCACAGGAGAGACCAGCAGAGTTCATAATAAGTTAACTTTTCCTAAACTTACCTGAGCACATGGCACCAAACTGACCCGAGTATTCCCTTATACACTTTGCTCATTAGCAAGGAACAGCTTTTAATAAAGTTTGTATGCAAGCTGACTAATTACTGTCCTCATCTCCATGCACTTTGGCACTATGGCAAATATTAAATGGGCTAAATCTTCACAGAGACAGAAAGAGACCCTGAGGACATGCATAAGAGGTGATGAGCACACAGGCATTTCCATCGTTCTCAGCAAACTTTAAATACATCTACGGTTGTGCTATTATCCAGACAAAAACCTTCTGACCTTTTCTTAAAGCAAAGAAGCTTGATTTAAGAAAAGCTCATTGTGCCCTGATGAACTAAGCATCAGCAATGATTGCTCACAAACCCTTAGGTAACGCACACAAAGCTGATTGAATAAACCCCGTGGGCTAAAGAGTAATGCGACTTTAAATGATTTGATACCAGTGACATGCAGTGAGTTTTGTGGAAATCATACACACCGTTTGATCACAGTTATATAAAAAGTCAGAGTTTTGTGTAATCTGGACCAATTGCATGATACACATTTACTAAGAAAATCGATTTTTCAAACCTGCTCCTGGGTCAGAAACAAGTGTCTGTAACTGTAGTGCAACTGTAGTAAATGTGTGGTGAGTCTATAGGAAGTCTGAGACGGTCAGCCAAATATCTGCATGAAGTTTAAAGATGTTGCTTATAGAATCTGGTATGTATAAAAATTACATCCAACTAATAAAATAACTGATTAATAAAAGAAAACTGTTTTTACTAGTTTAAGCTTCTTTATTTGTTGTATTTGTTTATCTTCTGTAAGTAAATTTATATTTGAAGAGCCACTTTGAGTTCCCAGAAACCATTTATGAATATTTTATAACAATAATTAATCTTAAAAAAATGAAAGAATAGGCAAAAACAAAACAGATGAATGTATCCTTGCTTTTGGCCTAAACATCAAAAAACATAAGTATAAAAAAAAAAACTTGTGAGCTTTATGTGGGTTGTAGTGTTAAGATAAAGTCACTTGGTTAAATAGCCTAAGCAGCTAAAATGCACCACTGCTGAGTGCTGAGGATCAGATCATTATCACCTCAACCAGCTGATGTAAGGCAGTATGCCTGACCTGCTTTTATCAGCTCTCATTTTCAAGGTGTGTGGGGGTGGGTTGGTTTTTTTTTTTCCTCTCTCGTTCTTTTTTTTTAATATTCAAAGCTTTCCAAAAGCTGGAGCTAAAGGTTTGTGGATCATGAATAAGCTTTTCAGCTTAAAATGATGTTAAACACAGCATCTAAATGCCATACTTTGACCTCAAGCTAGTTTTAAGAGCTTCCTTAAATTTCAGCATGCCGATCATATTCAGACTCTTATGAAATTCCTGATGGAACATGTTATTTCACTAACAAAAAAAACACTACAATAATAATGAATAAATAAGCCTCTCAAAAACACTCAGTTATTTTCTGAAAAACAACTACTGCTTAGCTTCCACTGCAAAATAACAAACATTTACCTGGATCCTTCCTAACATTCAGATAACAGCTCAGCGTGGTTACAAAGAGGTTACACTGATCTCTGTGGGAGGAAGAGCTGTGTGTGACAGGCAGGTCTGGCCCGGGTTCCCATGGCCCTTAATGACTACCTGGAGACACCTGGGAGAGCCGACCTTGAGAGGAGCCATTGTTTGGCCTGCCCCCCCTCTCATTAAATGCTCCACCTTCTCCTTTTCTTTGGATGAACCTGAGAGAGCTGCTATGATGCACAAAGTCTTTACTACTAATACGGAATGAATATGAATATGGCACACAAGGAATCAAACAAGACAACCACAAGTCAAGAAGAAAATTCTTAAAAAGATCATCTTGTTGGGTCTGTTAGTCCGTCTTCCTGTTTCCCAGCTCACTCAGCAGCAGAGCTCATTCAGTCAAAGATGACTTGACCTGCCCTCGTAACGTCACATTACCATTCTGCACAGCTGGCTTTTTATCCGGGCAAAAGAACACATGACACAGACCAACAGCGGGCCAACGGAAATCTATGAAAATTCAAAGCAGCTCTGGGAAACAGAGTGTTTGAAAAGCACTCCAACACTTCTCCAGGCTTTATTATGACAACATTTCCAAGTAGAGTGCTAAGTTGTTTGACTCTTTAGGAAATCACAAGAGCATATTCTCCTGAGGAAGACCAGTTATGTAATCAAACTTAGAATCTAAGTTATGCTTATTTATCTTATATGTATAATCTTGGCTGTGTGTGTCTGAAATGACCATATTAAAAGGACAACATATATGATGCAGTCCATACTGCATAATGAACTAAATCAAATGCATTTCTGAAATGTTGAATAAAAAGTGCAAATATTTGAAAAGCTTGGAAGTGGCAGAGCTAACTGCTAAAAATAGAAGGATCAAATGGATCAAGGAAAATATTGCTGCAGCATATAAACACTCGTGTTAAAACCTTAAAAGGATACATTCCAGAAAATCCTCCGCTTGCACTTTGTTCACAAAACTCTTTGCAAGTAGTGGAGACAAATGCCATAACAAGCTTTTACCTACAATGTTGATATGCTGCTTCTACAAAGCATCGACATCCCTTCAGTCACATAAAGCATTCATCATTTATGAAATGGTACTGTACTTTATGCTCTGTCAAAAAAAATATATACAGGCTGCCTAAGAAAACATTAAATAGTGTCAAAATAATAATATTTGTGATTCTCTATTGCACTCAAGAAAACGACACCAGTGAATTCATATCTGGAAAAGTCAGGTATGGAGCACAAACCGTATGTGGTGTGGAAAAATATACCTTTTGCTCTTTTTCCAAGACAGCTGAAAGCAGAGAAAACATTGCTGTTTTAAATTAAAAAGCTGCACAAAGACTTACTTATGGGGCCAAGGGCTGTGAACAACCCCTGCACAGGATAAAATAAAAGTAATAAAAAGGAAGTCTAAACAAATTTATATGAGTTACTCTTCCCCACCTCCTTCTTCAGCAGCATTTTATTTTTAACTGCTCACAGCAGGGCCAATACAGTGGATTATTACTGCAGCAGCCAACAATATATTAAATAAAGCCTACTGGATTGTTCCTCTGTCTGCAGTAATGTTCTTTTGAATTTTATGGTTTAAAAACAACTCAAAATGTCAGCTCGAATTCAGTGTCTTCCCCTTGTTGCAGCTTAGTAAATATTCCCATTAGAGTGCAGCTAAAGGCATTTGGAATGTTAAGTGGGAATGAATCAACCTAACTCAACCCAACACTTACTGCAGACATAAATAAGGGGTGAAAAAAAATCCACAAAAACAACAGCAAAGAATCTCAAGAAAGCAAATTCAGCAAATGGTCATGCCCATGGGTTCCATACTTTCAGGCAGCAATTGAATTTGCATTAAAAGGAATCCTATTATGAATCCACTTTAGAGCTTGTAAATTTGGATGGACTACCACAAAAGGTCTTTAATTCCCAAACTGTTGATGTGTTACTTTTGTTAGACCCCTGGAATCAAAGTTGAAGGTCTACAGTGAAATCACTCCTTGACCGCATCATTTCGAATCCACTGTGGTAGCTTTTGTGGAGATTTGCTAGCTCCTTCCAGTTGGTACTTTGTGATAGATAATTGGTTCTCAGTCAAATTTAAAGCAAGGAAATCAGGTAAATACTGAACATCATCATATCTAACAAGACGGCACAATCAAGGTATCAGTGGGTAATATGCTACCTATAGCAGTTACAGAGGTTTTGATCTTTTGTCCTTCTTTTCACTGTAAGGGTGACTGCTAACTGCCAATATGGCTGATTCAATCTGTTCTGTGTTCTCCAACAATGCCTCAATATGCCAGACTGGATCGAGTCTACACAGTTTCACACTCAAGATGGTAACTATTTATACCCATGAGCTGTTCTACAACAACACTTGGACAGGGTTGCACAGAAGAAAACACGTGATGTGTGATTATTATACAGAACTGCAAATGGCCTATTGTGTATACTTTCATTTGCATCTGATTTGTAAGTGTAGCCCAGACAGAACTAGGATGTTAAGTTCTGTAGGATGGATAAAATAAATTCACCCATGGAAACCTGTCATCCTGTGGATTCACAAGTCAAGTTGTGTAACTGTGGCCCATCCTGCATAACAACAGCAGTAACAGCAAAGATGTTAATTTCTTCAAGTTGTTCATTTTCATTTGTCAAATTTTAATTAAGATTTGACAAAACAAGTATTTGAGATCACAATCTAATGTAATCCCTAAAAATTTTATAAATACGAGGAGATGTACCAAAATAACTAACACAAGTTAAAAACTAATTTTGATAATTTGTGACATTAAAATAAATACTGTACAAAAACAGAGTGCACACTGTGAGACAGACTGAACTACACATTCTCACAGACTACATCTTAAATTGACCGAGCTACAAAAAGAAAGACACATTTAAATAATTATTGTGAAAGTAACACAGTCAAAATTCATCATCTTGTCCAAATCTGCTTTGATCACTGAACCTGCTCCTCTGCTCCTCTGTCTGCAGCTTCACCTCCTCAGGCCGGGAACATTTTTGGCTGCTGTGCTCTGATTTCACTCTATTTGCTCAGATTATTTCTGGTGTTAATGACGACTTCTCTTAAGTACACATTTACATTACAGATTGATTAAAAAAAAAGAAAAAAGCTAATCCAACTGCCCAATGGTGGAATGTCACAACTTTAATAGTCTTTTGTTTTTTTATGCTTTGGATATATTGCATATTGTGTCACCAAATGTATTCAACAGATATCAGATTTATTTACTTCCTAGACATTGGTCAGGCTCTGCAAGAAACAATTAAATGATACATTTAATTAGACATGGCAGCTTGACACAGTATGCTGCAATTAAACATGCCAACACTGCAGGATGCTGCTTAATTTCCTTCTGCTACCACAGATCAATACAGGCAGAAAAAAACCCCCAAAAAACCCTTTTCCTGTAAACTCCAACCTAACATGCTCCGCTCTCCTTGCCTCCATCTTCACTGGACATAACACCTCAGTCACTTGTCACATTCCTGAGCAGATCCAGTTAAGTCTCTGACATTTCACACAAGCCGAGTAAGCATTTTAAAATGCAGCTATATTACCAGCCTGCCAATAGCATGAGTGGGAAAAATAATTCAAGGCCACATTACTACTTTTATCATAAAAAACAAAAGAAAAAAAAAACTAATTCCATACACAAGATTCAGTTTAAGTAATTTTGCATATATGAGAAATGTACACACAGCCAGCATTTCTTCCTGAAACATGAAGTACACCCATCTCAACCCTGTAGATCAGTAAACTCTCGGTCAAATGTTCAAACATGTTTCCAACCATAGGAAGGTCTGGATAGGAGACCATGTAAAAAAAAAAAAAAAAAATCCTAAAAAACAAAGAATGCACTTCAATTACATGCTGATTGATTTAAAATCCTCTGTGTACAGAAGCAGATATACACTATGTGTCACTGTCCAATAGCTCTAACTTTAGACATTTACTAGATGTTACTTGTTTGAAGGAGGCCACACATTTTAGAATTTGTTGAAAAGTCACTGTTTGGATTACAGGGGTAAGGACGCACACACTGGGAAGAAGTTCAGGGATTTTCTAATCAAAGCAGATAAAGTAAGTATGTTAGCAGAGTTGCGGTACTTTGTTTCACTTCCTTAACAATAATAATTTGCGTCTGCCATAAAAAGAAAAAGAGAAAAAAAAGACTGTAAATGCAGAGGAAAAAAAGATATCTGCAAAATGTTCATGTCCAAGGCAACAGTCCAGAACAGAAATACACTGCACATATATTTAATCCAACAAGTGCGTAGGAGACGGACAAACCGGTCCAATGCAGCAAACAGACTAATGTTAAATGTCTAGTCTGTCAAATCACTGGTCCAAAAACTAAAACTCGTAAAAATAAGCTGCTGTTCATCAGTTCCAAAGAAAAGGAACAACTGTTATAATCTAATACTGTTCAGTCTTCAAATATCTTCCCTTTTTATCTGCTAGCACAAAAATTCAATGTTGCAGAGCAGCAATCGCTTCAAGTAACTGCTAGCTCTAGCTCCTGTCCAGTATTTCACAAGCCAGGGCAAATGTAGACCACAAGATTACCAAAGCTTTGCTTCTATTTTTGAAGCCTTTGTCCCACTGAATTGTAAAGACTGGCTAGATGGAAATACTTTCAATTATTACTGAGAGGCCAGATCGGCTTGCACTGTGTGACGTTGGCAGTCTTCCTACAAAGCACCTTGAACAGACAGGAGGCAGCGTCACTAAGGTAGCCAGTCAACCCGAACGACTCATTAGAGTGAACAAAGATGAAAAATGGAGAGAAACTACACAACCCACTTGTGGATTATAAACGGGTCTATAGTTGTTGCTTGCTTGTCAAGCTCCTGTGATTCGCTGAGGTCCAGTTACACATACCTGACACCAGCTCCAAGTCGCAGTTTGCTTACAGAGATCAGTGAAGGTGCAGTTTTTTATGAAATCACCACATTGTAAACTAAGAAACATTCTCTATGGAAATCAAAAGTAATTTTTTTCCAGTATCAGCACTGACAATTTTAAATATTAAATGAATCCAAATGAATTAAAATAGACTGAAGGGTCCATTTTTGCACTGGAGTCAAGATAAGTGCTACCCAGCACCACAGGTTCAAAACAAAGGATGAGCACCTTGGGGGAGTGGGGGTGCTGACTTGGTAACATTTATTCATTTGTGCTTGTAACAGGAAACAGAGCTACACTGTGTCCAGGTCCCTCCAAACAGGAGGAAAAAATGAGGTCCAGTGTATTCCATTTATGAAATGCAGGTAAATATACCCTTTTTGCCTTGCTGTGTTATTTCTGTGTGTTTACTTATACACCTAAACAGGTTTATATAGGTAATTTGCTCACATCAGTGTGTGTGTGTGTGTGTGTGTGTGTGTGTGTGTGTGTGTGTGTGTGTGTGTGTGTGTGTGTGTGTGTGTGTCCGCTTGTGCCCTTTGTTTCTGCCAGTTTAGAGTATATTATATGGGCATAAATAAATGAATGTAAACAAAGACATGTGCTGTGTGTTTGAGTCTGTTGGAGCAACATAACCCAAGTGTCCTTCCGAAATAGCAGAAAGAAAGGTCACCTTATGCAATACTTTTGGCATCCAGCTAATATTAATGGTGCTGCAATTTTATAAAAATGAGCCAAATGAGCCTTCAAAATTAAATTGTTTAAAATGTTTTTTTCCCCCATGTAGGCATTTATAATTACAAATGACTTGGACCCCAAGGTCTGCTGACCTGTCAGTGATAAATGAGACCCTTCTACAGAATGCTTGCAGGGTTTTCTTTACGTGACAAGTTTGAAGTTCAATAATAACAACACGCGCACAAAATCTAAATCAACCTTTTTTAAAATTTAAAAAAAAAAAAAGAAAAAAAAAAAAGGGTGCAGAGTGTATGTGATGACATACAGGTAGAAACAATGGAGTATTATAACTTCAAGCTTGACCATAGAAAGCTCAAGGTTATTGAATGAGGGAGAAGCCAGCAAGGACATAATATGGTCACATGTATTTTTCTTAGTATGTAAATTAGGGTATTTGGAGATCATGGTGTGGATATAAAAGCACACCTCTTTGGAAGAATAAGAACAGTTTTATAGGATTTGTGCATTTTTTCAGTAGTATATTCAACAGAAAATGTAAAAACTCCTACACATCCAACTTGTTATTCAGGGCTGTGAGGAAAAAAGAAAGAAAGAAAAAACCCACACCACATTACTGTAGCAATACAATAATAATAGCTTTTAAACTTAGCAATTAAACTTTAAGGAGAAATGCCAACTTTTTAATAAAGATGCTACTCTTAAAAATGTAGGTTGAAGGTCACTGGAAGATCTATAAAAAAGCCAAGTAAGTGAGTTTAATTACTAAGCAATAAATAACAGAAAACCTTGTTTGTGGAAAGGGAGTGAAATTCTCTAAGGACTGTGGGAAACTGACCTTGGTAAAATAAATTGCACACAGAACAAGATGATCGGATCTCATTCATCCACAACTGTGCGCTGGCACACGTGAGTGCGTGAACAGCTTCAAATTCTCTTGTAACAAAGAATGAGAGCAGGGACAGCACTGACTCCATTTCCTACTGATGTCCTTCTTGTACACAGTGTTATGTAAATCTATACACTAATCCAGCCATCATAAGAGTTTCTATACAAACAAAAGCTCTGTTAGAATGAAAGAAAAAAAAAAAAAAAAAAAAAATCAGGTCAGTCAAATGTCATTCTTTCAATTAACAGACTGGCTGCTAGTGTCGTTAGTATGCATCTCTAAAACAATTAGACAAACCTGAGAATACACTGTAAATAAACAGGTCGCAATTGCTGTGATGGTGTCATTCTATGATCTGTATGGGTTTGAATGCAGGCTATCCCAAAAACTGCAAATTTTTCCTTTCACTTTAATTTCAGTGTAACCTGACTTTTTATAGTCAAAAGAACCGGTGTCAGCAGCAACTCTGTAATAAAATTAGGAAAAAACTGAACTGAATCTGACAACAAAGCCTTTAATTCATGTAGCGTGCTCCTGTCTCAGAGGTTTCCCTAAAGTGTATTAGGAATGTTATGAATGATAACTCTGACTATGTTACATTTAATAGAAAAAATATGGTTCCCAGTCACATCAGCAGAGTTTTGGTTATGTCAGTCTCGTGTTGTTTGTATGCAGCAGCCCATCTTAACACTCTGAAACAGGTAACGTCAGCTGAATTGTCAGTGCTTAGCTAGCAAACAAAGGTAGTGGATGACAGTCTCTGGGGGTTGCAGCAGTCAAACAGAATCAACCTACTGTGACATTACTGTAATATTTGTTGCTCCAGCTAGGCCAACATAACGACCATGAAGTCAGCCTCTGGGGGCTTCTGCCCAAGTTGTTTCCATTCTTGGCATACAGCAGCGGACTTGCCCCCCCACACAATATAAGCAGAGTTGCTAAGTAGTGCAATAAACACTCGGCACCAGATTGACAGTGGACAGTGAAGGTAATGTCAAATAAACCTTGGTTTGCGTGGTACTCGCCAGGTAGGTTGTCCCAATCAACTTCGGAAAGTATTCACGCTTCTATGGATTTATTTTGTCCAAGTTTTATGCAGTTTCTTTACATAATCCCACACTGACAAAGTGATGGTGACTACAAATGATTTTTTAAATCCCTTTTTGTTGTTGAACTATGTGCTATGGTACAGTGTGAGGCATTACTCTTTTACAGAAAGGAACTCATGGATAGCAATATGTACTGTACAGAAATGGTAAGGTTTCTGCATTGTTTAATAAGGGGCCTCTCACCTTGGTGGTGTCATCATGGGAGCGTTGATAGCGTTTCCATCTGCAACCATAGATCCCAGTGATGCATGACAAACAAAGCTGGCGCTCATAGACTTGGAGGGGTTGGTGTTTCACCATGCTCCTTCAGTCAGTCCGGCTTCCAGAGCTCTAACATCCCACTGGCTGCAAAGGATCCTGTGAGAAATTACAAACAGCGTTAATATTGAAGCAAACAACGCAGCAACAAATTGTTGAAACCACAAAGGCTGTGTTTGACAACCCATGGAACAAATGGAGTAACATGTCTGGCACTTTAATAGAAAACACATGCTGCCTTGAAAAGCTCGTCCTGATAAAAAGCACAGCTTCAAATTAAGACCTTGTGCATGTTTCCAATGACAACTGGGACTGCTAGCAGCTTTTCATCAATATGATCAAGGAAAAAAACATGGCAAAGAACATTGGTAAAGTGATTATCTATTGAACATCACATGACCAAGAACATGAATATCAGAATCAGAATCAGAATCAGAATACTTTATTGATCCCTGGGGGAAATTATTTTTTGTTACAGTGCTCCATTTTAAACCAACATTAAGACAAGACAGACAATACGCTAACTAAGAATAGTACAATATATACATATATATACATACATACATACATACATAAATAAGTCACTTATAAATAAATATTTGGAAAAGAAACATGTGTAGCTGTTGCAGTAAACAGTGTGTTAAGTGGATGCGTTGTACAGGGAGATGGCCACAGGCAGGAATGATTTCCTGTGTCGTTCAGTGGTGCTTTTCGGTAATCTCAGTCTCTCACTGAACGAGCTCCTGTGACTGACCAACATGTCATGGAGTGGGTGGGAGGTGTTATCCAACATTGTCTTTATCTTGGACAGCATCCGCCTCTCCGACACCACCTTGAGGGAGTCCAGCTCCATCCCCACAACATTGCTGGCCTTACGGATCAGTTTATTAAGTCTGTTGGCATCTGCGACCCTCAGCCTGCTCCCCCAGCATGCAACAGCATAGAGGATCGCACTGGCCACAACAGACTCATAGAAAATCCTCAGCATTTTCTGGCAGATGTTGAAGGACCTCAGTCGCCTCAAAAAATAGAGACGACTCTGGCCCTTCCTGTAAAGTGCTGTGGTGTTATTAGCCCAGTCCAGTTTATTGTCAATGTGTACTCCAAGGTATTTATAGTCCTCCACAATGTCAACACTGACCCCCTGGATTGAAACAGGGGTCAAGTGTTTCCTGGTCTTCCTGAAGTCCACGATCAGTTCCTTGGTCTTTGCCACGTTGAGCTGCAGATGATTCTGCTCACACCACGTGACAAAGGAGTCGACCACAGCCCGGTACTCTGTCTCATCATCCCTGCTGATGCATCCAACCACCGCAGAGTCATCAGAAAACTTCTGAAGATGGCAGGTCTCTGTGCAGTGGCTGAAGTCTGTGGTGTAGAGGGTGAAGAGGAAGGGGGAGAGGACAGTCCCCTGTGGTGCCCCTGTGTTGCTAATCACCTTGTCAGACACACACTGTGGGAGACGTACATATTGTGGTCTTCCTGTCAGGTAATCAACAATCCAGGACACCAGAGAAGCATCCACCTGCATCGCTGCTAACTTATCACCCAGGAGGGTCGGCCTGATGGTGTTGAAAGCACTGGAAAAGTCAAAAAACATGACCCTCACAGTGCTCGCCGGCTGGTCCAGATGGGTGTAGACACGATTGAGCAGGTAGATGATGGCGTCCTCTGTTCCGAGACGAGGCTGATAAGCGAACTGAAGGGGATCCAGATGTGGTCTTACTATGGGTCGCAGCTGGTCCAGGATGAGCCTTTCCAGGGTCTTCATGATGTGGGAGGTCAGTGCCACGGGCCTGTAATCCTGGGGGCCACTGGGACGAGGCGTCTTTGGTACAGGGACGAGGCATGATGTCTTCCACATCACCGGGACCCTCTGCAGACTCAGACTCAGCATAAACAGTTTATGAAAGACTCCACACAGCTGGGGGGCACAGGCCTTGAGGACAAGGGGACTCACTCCGTCTGGTCCAGCAGACTTGCCTGAGTGAAGTCTCCTCATTTGCATCTCAACCTGGTATTGAGTGAAGGTGATGGGTGGGGGAGGGGTGTCAGGAATCTCACAGGAGGCAACATGTGAAGAGAGAGGCTGGCACAGTGGTGTGGCTCTGGATTCCAGGCTGACTGCAGGTGAGGTTGTGGGGGTGGGAGCAGACACTGTGGTGTCGAATCTATTGAAAAACAGATTCAACTCGTCGGCTCTATTCTCACCTCCCTCAGCTCCCCTGCTGTTGGTTGGCCTGAATCCAGTGATGGTCTTCATGCCCCTCCACACCTCTCTCATGCTGTTCTGCTGGAGTTTCCACTCCAGCTTCCTCCTGTAATTGTCCTTAGCCTCTCTGATCTTGTCCTTTAGTAACACCTGGACCTTCCTCACCTCCTCTTTGTTGCCCCCTCTGAAAGCCCTCTTCTTGTTGTTGAGGAGGGCTTTGATGTCCTTAGTCACCCACGGCTTGTTATTTGGGTAACAATGAACAGTCTGAGCTGGAACAATGGAGTCGGTGCAGAAAGTTATGTAGTCTGTGATACACTCAGTAAGCCCATTGATGTCCTCGGCGTGAGGCTCACAGAGTGTTTCCCAGTCGGTCACCTCGAAACAGCCCTGTAGTTCCGCTATTGCCTCCTCTGACCACCTCCTAACAGTCCTGGTGGTCACAGGTTCCCTCCTCACAATTGGCACATAGCGGGGGGTGAGGTGAATCAGGTTATGATCTGACCTACCAAGTGGGGGGAGGGAGGAGGAGCTGTATGCATCCTTGACGTTAGCATACAGTAAGTCTAAAGTTTTCTCTCCCCTGGTGGGACAGTCCACATATTGTTTGAATGTTGGTAGTGTATTGTCCAGTGATACATGGTTGAAGTCACCCGAGATCACAATAAAGGCACTCGGGTGCTGAGTCTGTAGCCGAGCTATGGCAGAGTGGATAGTGTCACATGCAGCTGTGGGGTTAGCAGAGGGGGGAACATAAACAGCCACCAAGATGACGTGAGAGAATTCCCTGGGTAAATAATACGGCCTGAGTCCAACAGCACACAGTTCAGTGTCCGGGCAACAAATCCTTTCTTTGATTGTTATGTTGGCAGGGTTACACCACCGGTTGTTAACTAAAACAGCAGGCCCACCTCCTTTACGCTTACCGCTAGCGATGCTGTCCCTGTCCGCCCGAACAGTGTGGAAGCCTTCCACGGAAGCATTCTCATCGGGAATGACCTGGTGCAGCCATGATTCGGTGAAACACATCAGGCTACACTCTCGGTACTCCCTCTGACTCCGTACCAGTGCTGAGAGCTCGTCGATTTTACTTGCCAACGATCGCACATTTCCCATCACGATAGACGGCAGACACGGTTTAAACCTCCTCCTCGCTTCGAGCCTCCGCTGTCTCACCGTCACCTTTTTTCTTCTCTTCTGTCCTTGACCTCTGCATCCCCGATGTGTTTTCCTCCAAATTTCAGCTGGTACTTCTGCGGGCACTTCTGCGGGCCTGGCCAGCGAGCCGGCCGGCATCAGGGCGATCAGCTGATCTCTGGAGTAAACAGTCCGTGCGTGTAGGAGATGTGCCGCGGTCCCGTTCCATGATAAAAGTAACAGTTCCACGGCCACCAGACGAACAAAAACTCTCTCAATCCACATGATTGAGTAAGAGATAGAAAACGGAGGAAAATACAAGTCAGAAAAAAAAAGAATACGTAAGAAAAAAGAGCTAAACTAAGAGAAAAGCAGGAGCGACTGTAACAGGCTGCACGCTGGTTGGCGCATGCGCACTATATATCACCTATATACATCATCATCATCAGAATATATCACCCACTTATAATAGGTCTGGGACAAGACAGCGTGCAGGCACCACCTCTCCCATTAATCAGGCCAATACGAGGAAATGCAAAAGCAATACCAACAAGTGTACGTGTAATAATACAACTGTGACATTTTAGCAAAAACCTTTCAACCTCTGGGAAACTTTAAAAAGGTCAAAATGTCAACTAAACCTCCAGGTAAAGCAACATGATTGTCCTCACTACCACTTTATTTATTTTTTAATAATGTGCAGGGGGTCTCTGCATCATTTGGCACCTTATCTGAAAGTCTTACACTGCCAGCACTCACTATTAATAAGGCTACAAACCATGGTGGAGTAGCAAGGCACATTATACTTCAGAAGAAAAAAAAAGTCTTGATTTTCCTTTCATCCTTGTCTGATGTCGTTTTAGTAAACATGGTAGGCAAGACTAGTCTGTGTTATGTGTGAATAACTAGAGTTATGAGTAATCCTCACCAATGAGCCTGCTGCTGATTCAGCATAAAGACTTTGTAATCAGCTATAATAACAATAATGATATTACAGCGGTGCGGACTGTTATCACAAGTTTACCTCACTCTCCAGGGACACGATGGAGCCTGTTGTGCTGCAGCTGCAAAACACACATCAACCAAATCTGGGGTTGAAAGTGCAACTTTGTGTTTTCAAAGCAGCAAATGATGCATATATAATGGCAGGGGGAACAAGCCGTGTCGATGAGAGGCAAACAAACATGAATAAGAGGCTACAGCAAGATGCAGACTTGCTTCAAGCTAGTTATATTCCTTTTTCCTTGCAGCGGTTGCTAGTGTGTAGCGTACTTGCATCTGATGTTTCAAATGCAAGTACATGCAGTAATTCTGCACTCTTCCTGCTGTAATCAGGCTGTCTCAGTCTCTGGACAGCTGCTCATTAGCATCTACAGCATGGGCCACGTTTCCTGTTATTAGCGAAACTGCTCTGAAAAGGGTGGGCTAGACCCAGGCAATAATGAATCTAGCTCACCCCAGCAGGACCGCAAAGACAGTCAGTCAGTGTGTTATAAATGATTTGTGGGTTAAAATGAAAAGTGTTAAATGTAACTTCTCCAATGCAGCAGCTTTGTTTACAAGCCTTTTGTATAAGTATTATATCTTAACAAGCCAAACATTTTTTCATAAGAAAAAAAAAAAAAAAATCTGTACTCTTACAGGACAGTTAGTCATGCTAAAGGTTATCGACTGTCTGAAGATCTGTACTTGTCAAATTCATTGCTTGTACTGTGTTGAAGAAATGAAAATCAATTCACTGATACTTGCA